TATAAGTATTATGTGACTGTTGTCGTAATGTTTTACCTACTACTTCCTACCTAAATCATTTCCATCATGTTATATCCCGAATAGAATTATGAATGGTAACTTTTGAGGACTGTTTATGGACCGATGTGATATGTATATTTCCTATTGTATGATTGTTAAGTAACTAAAGTTTTCATATTCGTGTTTCCCTTACTAAAAGCTTTATTTTGATCTATAGACTATTATTATACGATTAACCGTTTCTGAGTTATACCCAGTCTATTAATTACTGTTCCCCCTATTCACAGCCACATTTAGCTAAATCTTGTACGCATGTTCTTTCCTATTTTAAGGTACGATGTGGTCAGTTTGATTGGTATATAAACTCAGTATGTTTGAAATATAATTATTCATACTGCAGAGGCTGTTCTGGACTGAACTGACTGAGGTAGGTAGAAAGCAGGACCAACAAGTACTCTAGACTGCTAGTACGGTTTTCGTGTAACACTGGTCTGATCGATAAATCGCTGCTCTCTGATTGGCGGTCTTATCACGTCATACGTTAACAGGGCATCCATTCGGCCACAAGTTATAACACATCATAAAATGAAATTAGTATCGATGATCATACAAACAAATGTCTGACCGAAACAATCAGATTAAAAATAAATAATATTAACAAATTACCTAATTTTGATTGATTATAAACTATTTACCACATTATAAGCAAAGATGGATAGTGGCTAGCAGTGGAATCCAGGACACGTATTTCGTTCTATTTGGGACTCGTTAGCTGGATGTACTGCAACTCAGAGTTGATGTTCACTCTGGGACTCTAACCCAGTACCGTTCGCTTCAAACGCCATCGCGTTATCCACTCAGCTACTGAGTCGTGATAGCCACTTTCTTGTGCGACGGGGTGAAGTTTAAAATTAACTTAATATTGTTTGCTTGAATCTTCCAGCGCGCATCCTGAATTCCACTGCTAGCCACTATCCATCTTTGCTTCTAATACTTGTGACTTAAGGCTATATCGAGGCAATACGTACAGTATGCACATATGCCAATAAGAGACTGACCAGTTACAGTCCTAAACATCAATGGGAAGATTCAAGCAAACAGTACTTAGTGAATTTATTTACCACATTATTTAATATCCTATTTCAATACATTACATAGTCCTAGAATGACATAAGTTAAAATAAAAGTGAAAAGAGGAAACTGAATTATAACAGTAAATTTTTGTAATAGTAACAGTAACGTCGGATTTTGTAAGTAAAATTAATGATTAACTTTGTTAAGTATATCTAACTTGGATTATAATTAAGTGTGAATGTACACAATAATTCGCCTGGCATACAATGGAAACTTCCTTTACTGATTGTATACATAATCTTTAAATGCTACTGATGTCATTAATTAGTTCAAACAGAATTAAGTTTGTTGGATTCAGACGAATAACTTGACAGTCAAAAGTTAAGCGTACTAATTAGTGTTATATCCTAGCGAAAAGTGAGTGAATGGTAACTGCTAGAAATTATTTATGGACTGTTACATATATTCTTATTATGTAACTATTATTTAACTGTATTATATGTATATTTATGTTCCTCTTATTATAAGCTTCCATTTGAACTATCGATTACTATTATACGATTTACTATTCTTAAGTTATTTCCAATTTTTTTGATTGAGATAATGAATCGATTAATGTTAGACCATCGTCGAAAACTTGGAAGTACCGGATGACCGTTTCGTTCTGGTATGCAACTTCTCAGCAGTGTGCAACCACGATCCAGCACACGGGATTCAAACCTAGTACCTTCGGTCTCGTGCACGAACGCCTAACCTCTAGACCACTGAGCCGGCATCCAACGGTGTTAGTGTCTAACTTCAACCAATCCTCGAAATTGTACGACCGTCTTCCATTGTCTGAGGTAGACACCTGTCTCTACCTGACACGGATTAGTACCACTGGTCACGGCTTCTCAATAATTTACCAAGAATTAGCTCACGAAGCCAGTCACTAGTGAGCACATGGTAATTATCAGTATGGGGCTGTGAAGATTGTTAAGCTTTTGATTAAGATCATGAATCGATGAATGTTAGACCATCTTTGAAACCTGGATGCCTCACACACATAACCACTTTTGGCTTGACCTTGTATAATTGTTATTTTCTTTTTTATGGTATAATGTGATATGATTTGTTTGTATATAAACTGCGTATGCCTGAAACATATAATTCTTATAATGGATGCTGAATTGTGTTCTGAAATCAAACGGACTGAGCTAGACGAGAAGAGCCAATAAGGACTCAGAATTAACTATCGGCTGCTCTTACTGGTTTATGAGTCATTGGTTTGGCACAGTGCCGAGGTCATACAAGTCCGTGTCCGATTGACGATTTAGTCATGTGATATATTAACAGGAACATAGGACATAACAACTAGCAAGCCACTGAACTACATGCATACTTTAATTCAAAAACTTATGGTTTAATGTAGCAGCCACAATTTTACTGTTTAGTATTAAAGCGATTGACGTGAATAGGAAAAAATAGTGAAGCCATAACGAACAATTAGAAGCTATTTTTGCGAAGATTGTTTCACTTAATTCAAAATTTATAAAGTACTAACATTCGGTTTTCTCCCTGATTTATTGTATAAACCTTAAGCTCTCGTTCGATGCATGATTCATTACCATGTCCTTATCTATTCCAGAATCATGATGATTTAAACGTAACCTCTTGTACTCCATTTTCCACCATAACTGATTGTTGTATTTTTCTAACAGTTTGTAGGTTGATGTCTTGTTACGTTAATCTAAATCGATCAGTGTCCTCTCTCTCTCGCTTGCCAACCAACCAGGCGACAGTATGTATTTCGTCTTTCTGTCACAAAGGTGTTAGTCACAATTCGGACTCACTCGTTACTAGCCTCAAGGTAGAGCTAGGTAGCCTATCGTGTCAATGTCTCAAACTCGAATAAGACGTAACAGTTGTTGTTTGTGCTTTTATTCAGTGACGGAAATAAAATTTTTAAAATATCCGTGAAACTATATTTATGGACGACGTTTGAGCGACGCTAAAGTGACCTTGAGGATAACCACCTACTAGCTAGGAGTAAATGACTGTTACAAACCAGTGCGAGGAATTAGAATCATGATTTACAGTTGATGGTTAGGATTATGAATTAGATTTAGGGTTTTCCTCACGAATGGACATCAGCTAAAGTGCCAAAAAGTTATTTATCCAAATAGATGAATGAGTTTCGCGCCACATTCCAAGACTTGTTATCACAAATCTGATTGGTTCGTCCATAAATTGAGTTACAGTGGATAGAACTACGATTAATAGTCAATTTGATCAATACTGGCTCAATTGAATTTTACGTATATAATTAAAAGAATTCATTTCATAATAATATACTCAATTAATTGAACCTTTCGTTTTCTCTTTGAAGGTTTAAATATCAATTACACAAATGAATCATCCGACTGACCATTTCAACTATTCCAATAATCGTATTGGCTAATTCTATCTTCATAACAATTAGTAATGAATTCATTTGAATGAATGACATCCCAACTGATTGTTTGACATAAACATATATTTAGTCAAAAAATATTGATTTCGTCATTAACATTTTTACAGTGAATACAGATTCGTCTATTTCGTCACTCACTTCTTAAAATGAATGCACATTCAAGCTAAATACAAATTTTTTAAACTGTGCTTTCAGGTTTTCCATGGTGGTCTAGCTTCAATTGACTTTTGATCTCAACTAAATAAAATTACTAAAATCTCCACAAAACCCCTCTTCTGATAATAATCATAGCTCACTAGTGTCTGACTTCAAGAGTTCTAGTGAGAAGCAGTGACAGGGGAGTTCAACCACGTCTGTTGTGAGATAGTAACTCACTGAAGGCAATAGTGGACGTGTAGCTCAATTTCGTGGATTAGTTGAAGTTAGATGTTAACACCATCGAATGCCAACTCAGTGGTCTAGAGGTTAAGCACGAGACCGATAGGTTCTGCGTTCGAATCTCGCTAGGCGGGATCATGGATACTCACTGCTGAGGAGGACGAGACGGCTGTGTAGTGCTTCCAGGTTTTCTATGGCCGTCTAGCTTCAATTGACTCATAATTTCAACTATAAAATTACTAAAATCTACACAAAACCCAAGGCCTGTTATAAAACTTAACAGTTTGTTTAACAATCAAGTCGATAATTTAGGAAAATTTATTTCAGACGAATATTGTCAAACTCATGAATAATAGCAGAAAAAAATTTACAAGAGAGGTGGTATCATCACTTTTTTAATGTTAAATATATGTGCGATAACAAGCATTTTTGAACTTTAACTTTCCTTTATTGAGTGGTGCAATATATAAGAGCCTAATATTTATTAAGAACTTCATTTTAAGCTCTAACTCTACTTTGGTTGATCATCATTTTTAAGGTGGGTATTAGCTATAGTGGTGCATTCATGAGAGACATATATATCAGTAGCTTTAAACGATTGCAATGAAATCTTCAGTAAAGATTATGCCCTTATAATATAGGACTCATTAAATGAACAAAAAAGCGTGGTAGAAAATACTAGATATTACACTTTTAATGAACGTTGGAGAATAGATAGATAACCTCAAAAAATGTTGATGGGGTTTTGTTCACTGAGCTGGATGGTCTGATCGTGGAGCTTTCATCGTCCTTCTGAATAACATCATCAACACAAATTTCGGGTAGAAGTGAAGTGTTCAAATTTCTCCACATGTGGTTCACAGCTTGTCCTGTACACCTTGATATTAATTAGTTCTTGTTAACTTTAGATCTATCATTGTTTACTTCTTTGTTTTGGTTGCATCTCCCATTGGTTCCACAACCAAACCATTCAGCTTAGAGAACAAAACTCTATCCAAATCATCCACCTGAACTACAAATCTTTTCCACAACCTCAACAACAACAACAACAACAAATAAATTTTTGATCTAATAGAAAAAAAAACAATCTACTTACCATAATAATAAAGACTAAATATTGTATCACGTTTTAAATTAGTTATCTGAAATATAGCTTTAGCAATCCAATCCATATTTAATGATTTGAAAGATCGATTATAATGAATACGACAAACTTCTTGATTTGTATTTGATCTTAATGATGGAAAAATGAATTTGATCAACATTGTTATTTTATTTTTTTCTTCAATTTACAAAAAGATATGTACTACTGATATCAGTATCAATTAACTTTCAAACTAAACTATTTTTTATTTCAGCTTAGCAACTAATGAAATTTAAACATGATCAATATTTTTTTTATGTAAAAGAGACATTTACTTATAGTCACGTGAATTTATAATGTAACCAAAAATAACCAATCAAATTCTTTCTTTCTTTTTTTGTTTTAATTATTTATTTATTACTTCCATATCATAGTAACTATAATAAGAATCATATTTAACGGTTTTATAGAAAAAAATATTTTTATCTTATGAATTCGATGAATGACTAGTGGTAATAATGTGTTGCTTTTTATTGTTAAAATTCGATCACAATGTGATCATTTATAAGCAGAGGTGGGTAGTGGATAACAGTGGAATCCAGGACACATATTTCATAATATTTAGGACTCGTTAGCTGGATGTACCTGCATTTCAGAGTTGATGTTCACTCTGGGACTCTAACCCAGTACCGCTCGCTTCAAACACCATCGAGTTATATACTCAGCTACTGAGTCGTGATAGCCACTTACTTGTTCAATGGAGGTGAAGTTTAAATTTACTTGGTGTTGTTTACTTGTATCTTAACATTGTTATTTAGGACTAAAATTGATCAGTCTCGTGTTGGCATATGTGCATCCTGTGAGGATTGCCTTGATATTGCCTGAAGTCACAAGCTTTGTAAGCAAAGATGGATGCATATATGCCAACACGAGACTGATCAATTTCAGTCTTAAATAACAATGGGAAGATACAAGTAAATAACACCAAGTGAATATTGATCACTGTTTCCTTAAATAAGTCAGTATTTTAATTTGTTTTTAACGATCATTTCCCTCTTGGATATTTGATATACATAATAAATTAGGTATAAATAAAAGATATCAAGTTCATTTTAAAATAAGATAGTGTAGTATAGTAACGTAAACTTATACATGTGTAAAGGAATGATAGTTAACTCTATGAAGGAACTTAATCTTATTTCTTCCGTTTGTACAGACTATGTTAGCTACCAAGGTAATACTAAGGTTTTTTCTCCAACGTTGTTAATTCAAAATTCAGAAATTTAACCTCGAAAATTTAAAATGTAGAAAATGAGTCATTTATAACTCATCTATCAACTGGTTAGTATAATACAAGATACAGTGATGATAATTAAATCGGTTCACAAATATTGATTTCTTCAAATGACTGATTGACTGAAGTCTAATGGCTGGCTATCGACCACCAAAGAACACTGAACCGCTGCATCATGCTATTTTGGAACTCTCAAGAAATTCACTACTATGATTGCCAAGCCACTGTATCATGAATCAGAGGCGACTTGATTACAATTTTCGAATTGCTTAATGACAAATTTGCACCTGATATGCCCTCATTTTTCTTGTCTTCCAAAACAGAAAATCTACGAGGACACTCCAAAAAAGTTCACAAGCCCAAAAGGAATTACTTGTCAGCTGACTACCGTCCTTCCCATCGAATAATCAACGAGTGGAATTCATTACCTCAGCACGTGGTTGAGGCTCCATCCGTCGACTCCTTCAAAAGAAAGTTGGATCGGCTCAGAGACCATCATTGCCAGGACTAACACAGGCCATCAAGCCTCCTGTCCTTTCCAAACTGAAATGATAAATGAAACCTGAAGACATTTGATATTTCCCAAAATATTTGAACTTTTCATTTAGTATGGGAGTAATGTATACTACTTAGTTATCCGTTTGGCCTGATTAATCAATTACATTTGAGCATGGATTAAGATTATGAAAATCATCTGTTAGGAGGTAATTTTGAGATAGTTTTGTTAAATTATAAATGTTGTATATATAAATCTACGATTTACTTACTTTTCGATACAAACTATTCATGTACTTCTCATGTCTCCAAACCTTAGCCTATAATCATAGTACATTTTAGAGTGACCTGACAATTTTTCTTTTTATAAATAAAAAGAAGTGGATTACATTAAGTCAAGAAACGCCAGAAAATCTACTTTTTCTATTCATTGGGATATTACAAATATATTGTTTTTATTTATAACAATCTACCCAATTCTCAATTTATTTAAAATTATCAAGTCACACCTTGCTAATGATACCTATAATTTTCATTTTGTTAATGATCCACAATACTATGAGACGGTAATTTTTCTTCGTAAAGGACAACTGTTTAAAGTCTAATCAAGTGCTAATGATTACTAGTGAACTCATTCATTTTACATGTATAATCTCAAAGTATTATCCTATTTAGGTGTGGAAGTTATAACCAACTCTTAATAATAGAAGATATGATCCTATTATAGACAAACAAACCGATTTTTACAATTAATAAAATTTTAAAAATGCACAAGGAAGTGTATGATATGAAACCATTACAAACTTCTGATTAATACCATTCTAGTGACAAAGCCATGAAATAAAAACTTCATTTTATTTGCCCATATGAAATCACTGCAGTTAAGTAATGTAGAATGTTATACCTTTTTGATTTCGTTCATCATTGTTCCACCTATGAAAATATCCTTTAACGAAGTTCATCCTCCTAGGCCTACTGAATAAGAAATCTATCACTTGTTCAACCTAGTTCAGTTTTTATTTTATCTCCATTATTTGACTAAAGAAGACAGCAAATAGAAGCAAATAGTCATACAACTGATTCATGTTAACCACGTTGCAAAGTATTTAACGACTAGTGAATGGGTGAAACGTGGTTATTAAATGCTGCCTCACACGATCAACTGAATAATAAGTCCCCCAGTTAGGTATATATAACAACGTTGTACGTTTTTTCATGTAAAACTTATATGGATTTCTGTTCAGTTATTTTAATACTTTATTATGCATTTTAATTACTCAAGTTTTGTTTATATATGTACTTACCAAAATCTAACGTCTGTGAAATATTACTCATAGAGCGCTGGATTTCACCTCATATAAAGATTTTATTACAAATGTTATTCACTTTTAAACAAAGCTGTTATTCTGTAAACACTCGATAAGAATTGGAAGGACGTTTCTCAGACCTATTCGTAAGACAATATTAGCGTTTTGGTTATTTTTTAATCTTTGAATTCTTCCTTCTATAAATTAACTTCGAATTGTTTGAATACGGACACCTACACCAACCAACTGACAACTCACGGTGTTTTGGTCGGGCAATGTCGACTGGTTATTAAAACGAATTCGTGCCTAGTTTACAAATAATTAATGGTAAGGCGATCATAAGACACAGAAAAAAGTGTATTTACTTTCGTATAAGCTCGTCCAATGCAGATCGATATTTCTGGACTCACCTTCACAAATTGACAGCTATCTTCAAACTGTTTCTCTCTTTTCACTGTCGACTCTACTTAGGCTTACAACCGAGGTCTGATAGCTGACAACAACATTCTCATAACAGCTATTATCTCTATAAGTTTTTGCGCGTGCAGTCCCGTATAGGAGTTGCCGAAAAATTCCCACACTTTCAAAAGTCTCAATTTTGTGCATGTGTAGTGACCGGCCAGTCTCGATAAGAACACGATTGGAATAACGGAAACAATTATTCTTATTGTAACCAATTGTACCAGGGATTGTTTTACTGTATTTGTTTAACTGTACCAGTTTCACTTCTGCTTTCGCTCTCCGCCTTGTTTGGTTCGAACTTGCTCACGAACTGCCTGTTCGCCTGTACTCTTTGGCACGTCTCGGTATTATTTCGATACCACGAGATCGCCAATAAACACAATTGATCTGGATTAATAAAGTCTTCTGATTTACGAGCTATCAAAGGAACCAAGTTGTTTTTTGGGCGCGTAAACGAATTGTAGTGGTGATCATAGTCCGTCTTCGACTCGACATCCACTACACATGAATCTGTTGTCAATTGTCTGTTTATAAGCACAGATAACCAGAACAACCCAAAATAACTAAACTAAGGATCTGAAATATATCTTATTACTTTACACATACGAGGTTGTTAGACTGAAACTATTTCACTGGTTCTTCATGAACATACCTTTGAGGTTAACTGGCTGATGAAAGGTAATGGCTATTCTACGTTACCCTGGATGGACCACCAATCAACAATTTCGGCTTTTAACCGATCTGTAAGGTTTCATGGATAAGCTAATGTTCTTTCACGGAGCCATTAGGGTATTGACTTTTTGGAAATATCGACGCAGTCCAAATAATCAGGGCTTCTGAGAAAAGACTCTTTACATAAAATAAATTACAACCAGATCAAATATACACCCGAAGCACGCACACTACCGTAGACGTAACTGGTACATAAATTGGTGGCGTCCTACAATAATATTCAACTGAACATTTTAGAACCCGTTGCATTTTTCTCGAGGCTGTTGTAAATACTATTCAAACGGCATTTTTAAAACTGGAAGAGTGATGATTCTTTATGTTTACTATGTATTTTTTTCGAAATTTTTACTTAACTCATCGCTCAATACACGTTCCCAGTGAGTGTCTTATTGACTGAACTAAACTTATCAATATCAAACGAATATACAGTGGGACTGCAGTTTCCTTATCATGAATATGTTCCTTGAATTGTTTCAACGATTGTGAATCTGCCAAAGAGACCCTGTTGGTTTTACTGAGCACGCTACTAGTGTATGCGATCAATCAAGCATCCGCACCAGACCACGAATGGAGAGTCGGTGCTGAGTATTTCCTACATCACGTAGTTAGAATAAATCATATACGTGTCATTAGTATATCTTTGGCCAACTAATCAGAAATTGAATACTTGTTAGATTTAGGACAAATATATTTCTGATATTCATTTAAGCAGACAAACTGAAAGAGTGACTATGATAAATAGTCAGACCGAAACATATCGATTGTTAGGCCCACGCAGTAACTGGCAGATGATTGTGATATTTGAGGGAACTAATGATTATTTTGTACTTCATTAGCCGCTTATTACGAATTCCAAATTCGTTTATGTTCACTTGATTCTATCTTATTTAAATTGTGCTCTTTCAGGAATTCCTAGTTAGTACGACAATCCGAATACTTATAATCGTCATATTAGCGTCGCAATGGAGCCTATGATTGGACAGTTTAATGTACATTCAAATTCTGAAATTTTCGAAGATTACATGGAAAGTTTTGAAATTTGGAGTATGACAAAGAAAGGTAGGTCATTTCCTTACATTCATCGGAAAGGATACCTATAGCTTACTAAGAGCTTCAGCACTCCCAGACAAGCCTATTTCATTTCTCTACGCAACTTAAATCCTGTGAAGTTCACTAATTTCGAATGCCGGGAAAAAGCGAAATTTCATAAAACGATTCACTAGGACACCAAGAATTCTACTAAATCACTTAGTTGACTCAATCTATTGCATGATCATTGTCATTCATATAACAATTCATTGAGGAGTTGCGAAGCAGTTTACAGAGGCTAGTACAGATTTGATAAATGCTTATCCTGTGGTTAATTTTACTCGAGTAATTCATGTGTATTTCATTCTGTCAAATGCTTTTAATGTGGTGAAATTCGATGTATCTAGCTACTGTGTAGATCTACTAATCGTTTTACCATGAATAATGATAAAATGCATGTTTCTAGGGATCATTTATCTTTATTTACGATTTTGGAGGGCGATATCCATACTCAGAAGCGATTATATACCACCTTTGGTTCATTCCCTGACTTTATTTTTGACACAGACAGTATGGAATCATATCTCGATCCAGAATCAAGTGAAGGCTTGTTAGACTTGTGTAACTGTGAAGCTGAACTCCAGACAAAACAGACTCACATGATATTTGTTGGGAGAGCTAGAGGGTCTCGTATTTAGAAATCAATTGTAGCTGCACAATGAATACAAGAGTATAAAAAGGAACTCAAAATCATTGCGAAAAAACTTTCTGACGAACCAGTTTATTGTCAGATTTCTCATGCTTTTTCGCCAGATATGGGTTTGTAGAGTCACTGAATATCGAAATGATCATTGATCCCTGCCAAAGTCAAGGATAGTCAAAGCGCACAAACCAATCGTACGCCATGGACTGGCCCACGCTGCAGTGGTTATTCTTTCATTTCTGTACTTCCGTAGTTGTACCTTAACTAATATATTCTTGTAATAACGTCCTTTGTGTTGTACAGTCTCCATAGCATCCATTATCCTTTGATGCGTCGATGGTTCAATCCACGTAAGGGCTGGTCGCGAGGTGTGACTTCAGCGTTAGTTGGTTCGTCACCATTCTCGTCTAACTCTAGTAGGCCCTCAATCATTTCGACGATAGAACATCAACGTAGATGATCTTACAGGTTGTCCTAATGATTCATATAACTTTGATGAAAATTCTTACAAAAATGAGAAAAATCTGTTGGATGAGTCAAATGATGGTCGGAAATCTGATGCAACGCAGATAAATGTTCATTTTTCTAATGTCCCACTATTCTTCATTGAATTCTTAATAAATCTTGGAAAAATATTTCAGGAGAATCGAATCCTGATGATCTCATATCGAGTGTTGTTGATCCTCATCATGAAGTTGTAGTGACCTACTTTTACGGTGAGAACGCTATTGGTGTAATAGAAACAAATATTATTATAACAAATTGTACCAGTGATTGTTTTACTGTACTTGTTTCTTTAACTGTACGAGAAGCACTTCTTGTTCCGTTGTCTATCTTGCTTGAGCGAACACTCTTACGCTCTGCCATTTCGCCTGTAATCTTTGGCACGTCTCGCTATTCTTTCGATACCATGAGATCGCCAACAAATATATCTTATCTGGACCATTGACAGCCTTCTAGTTTTTGGCCTACCGAGGGATCCAAGTCGATAGCTGGCACGTAACCTTATTGTAGTGGTGATCATAGTCAATCGCGACTCGACACCCATCTACAAAGTCATCACTAGTGGATCTTCTAATCAATGTGAGAAACGCGTTTTAAATGAAGTCATATAATTTGTAACCTGAAGATATGAAGACCCAACTTTATTCCGTGGAGAGGATAGTGTTCGAAAATCTATGGCTCGAATTCTAGACACCAATGATTTAAGTACACAGAACAGACATGTTGATCAAATACAAGTCCAAACCAGATGAGTATGTAGATCACTAATGTAGGTGATCTGTGACGAATGATTGGGAGCCTACTTGAGTTAGACGGGAATGGTGTGATAAACCAGCTAGCTTCGAAGTCACACCTCGCGGTCAGCGCATAAAGTGGATTACACTTTCGTGAGTCAAGGTACTACTGCTGCTCTGAAGACCGCATAACACATTGGAAGTTATCACAGAAATACATTAGTAAGAGTAGGTACAAGGAAGAGATTGCGAACACAACCGCATAGGCTAGTCCACGGCGTGCGAGTGACGAATGCATGCGTCAGAAGTGTTTGATAATGACATCCAGCCGACTGGTTTTATATCCAGTGGGGCTGATAGATTAAACCGTAGTACGCGAAAAGTATCGTCATCGTAGAGATGTTCAGACAGTAGCACATGATTCAGAGACATGTGAGCTGGTGCGTTTCAGGCTGAAATGTAAACGATAAGATACTGAATTCGTTGTAGTACATCGCAGTTCAGAAAGTGCAGTAGACGACTACCTCTTCAGCAAACTTAAGTCCTAGTGTAATACGGGTAAAAACTTTATAGTAGACGACTTTAATGCACCGTATATAAACTCGGTATACTTAGAATTAAGGTCATCGATAACGCCGTTTGATTGAAAACTGTTAGAAACCTCAATTGTACTAGCTTTGTTCCAACACACTGATGATCCCACCAGATATGACCTACGAAGCTCCTCGTCCCTCGTAGACCCAGTCTTCACATACGGTGACGATTTCGGTCAAATGACTTTCCTGCCACTTCTAGGGAGAAGCGATAATACAGTCATCTTATTCAAATTTATGGCTGAGAATTCCTGTCAAACAGTTGCACCGACCCGTCCTAACATATAGAAGGCAGACATGAGGGCGATAAAATCTGTTGCTATGGCGGAAAACTGGGAATTCGACTCTGAGGCATCAATAGAAGAGGGATGGACACATTTCAGGTAGTTATACAATCGGGTAACTCAACCATTTGTACCCTGGACAGTCCCCAAAAAGAAACACGGCCATCCTTGAATAGGCTGGAATATTCGACGTTTACCAAGAAAAAAAAAGAAATGTTTGGATGTTGCCATCAACCTTGACACTGCAAGTACAATGAAGCCGTACAGATTGGTAAGAAATAAGTGTTTAATTGAAATGCGGGAATCTCAGAGGAAACATGAAATGCAGTGGTACAATCTGCACTCAAGCAACCTAAGAGACCATTCTCGTACATAAATTACAAAACAGGGATGCAGCTCTAGGGTTAACTATACAAAGAGCAGCTTGAGAAACTAGACCTTTTTACTCTGTCCTGTCACAGATTAAGAGGTGATCTAATTTTGATGTATAAAATATTAAGAAATGATTCTGAACCTAATGTATTCTCTCTTTTACTAAACATTAGAGTGGGATATCTCATAGGACATAGCAGGTGAGTAGAAAAACCAGGAACAAATAAAATACCAGGTAACACACACGTTTTCACACCGGGTCATCAATTCTTGGGACCTCTTACCCAAAGCAGTGGTGTCCGCACCTTCAGCTGACTCATTCAAGAGAAGACTGGACACCTATAAAAACATACTAAAAAGGGAATAACATAGTCCATAAGCCTTTTGTCCTTACTACACAAATCTAAAACTAAATCTTTTATTTCCGCTTGTTACATATACCCTGGTCCTCACTGTAAAATAACGTTGGCCTCTTGCTACTGGACAGTGAGGCTCATTAGGTTGAAGCTTATTTTGCTTAACTCAAGGCAATTATAGCAACCATCCTACAATCAATTTCGATTATAGCCAGTTTTGATTAAGCCCTTTTTTATAACTTACTTAACAGACATCGTCATTTGGATAGTAACAATTTACATATTCTTTGCACTGCTATACCACTAGAGCACATGACACTCTAGCCGAAATGTTGACTGCTTAAATATCATTCGATGACTCATACTCCTCCCCATATATGTACGCACGCAAATATTATTATCAGCCTTTGTTTTGCTTTGCTGTGCCCTTATTAAATTTAACTATAAATTGCCTATGTAATTGCTTGCTATTCGCCCGCTAGCTCCTCGTTCGTTTCCTTCGCTTGTTTGCCTGTTCACTCGCTCGTTCATATTCGCTCAGGTGTTGTTAGCTTCCGAACCTGAGTCATTCGACAATAAACTGTAGTTGCTGCTATCCTTTGTCTTCTGATTTTACGCGCCGTTAAGTTTAGAATTATAACGGTTATCGAAGTAAACGATTAACGAATCGCTGCACTACACAATCTGACTATAAGTCATGTAATAAAATGCACACATTTCACATTGTAATCTGAAACCCATGGCAATTATTCGTAGTCAGTCGTTACAGTTCAGAATAAGCCGTTTTCGGCACTGTACGTAATTTAGTTTGTTTTTCGGATAAGTACTTCATATTTACTATATCAGAAACCTGGAAATATCTTATCCACATCTTTGTATACTATCTTAATGCTCTAGTTTAGTAGCATGCTACCATCTAATGCCAATCTCACTAGTGAGTTTGGAATAGCTATCTTGGGGGAAATTTTGGGGTTGTCACCAAATTCGTAAGAAGTATGATAGTATTCATCAGCGTGTGGGTAAAATCACAAAGTGTTGTAAGATCCTGTGGAAGTATTGAGGAAAACTAAAAAATTCCCCCAACATTTTGGGGATTTCGCTCGGAACTGGGAACATTTTGGGGTTTTTGTGCCATTTCCCCAAACTTTCCTATAGCGACTGTCCCAAAATTTACCCGAACCGGACAAAATTTTCCCTAAAATAGGAAAATTGAGATTATCCCAATTAAAGTGGATGGGAAATAAAGGAGAACTTCGTGGAAATGCGGGCAACATAGGGTGAGGAAAATTTGGTCATAATTCAGGTGAAGTTGCAAAGTCACATCTTCCGCCCACTCTCAGGAAATAACGAAACGTTTCCCCAAAATATCTCACATTAGGCGAAAAGTTTATAAATTCAAACAGTGATCTCCAAATAGTCCACTTTTCTCCTAAATTCAAACCATATCGTTTAACGCGTAATATCAAATTTGTTTTGATACTCTGTATTTAAAAGAAATAACAAGCATAAAATTCCCTATGACAGCGATACGTCTTCGTACTAGCTGGTAAGTCCTATTGCCATTATTTTACACCGGAAAAAGAAAAAAAGACGTATCAGTTTGTGAACAGTTTTGAGAAAGCAGATGACAGGGATACAATAGTTGCACGCTACAAAATCAATTTATCGAAAAGAGGTACTAGATTAGTCCTAGGTTCGGTGTTTTGTTAACCAATACTCCTTCAGTCGCTGTCCTGGTCGTCGTAGACTGTATTCTGAAATGTAATGAACAAATACAGTTATGGAGGGGTTTAATCCCGATTTCTTACTGATCACTAATTATAAAGTGGGATAAAAACCACAGCATTGTTAAACAAAATACCCATTTTATTCACTGTTCTCAATAAGGTGAAGTTAATAGACAACTATGGGCTAACGACGTGCGGTAGTATATATCTGAGATATGTTTTGTTTTGTCATCCATTAAGTTGCTCATCTCGCCCATTTGGAAGATTAAGTGAGTTTACGAATCTTTCCCTGATATCTTCTTGTGGAGTACGTGTTTTCAGTGTCTCCAACTCTCGCTCAGTTGACGGAGGAAGGAGAAACTCATGTTGGAGCTACTGTTTAGCGTTGGTTAAAATGAAATATCATTTAAAATCCTAATTGCTTGCATAGCATCTGCAAAAATATCGTACTCAGCTGTAAGAAGCTTTTGCAAGGTAACGTATACATTTGACAATCTATCGAAATTTGGATAACTGCTAACATGACTTACTCTGACGTTTGGCTCGATACATGTTTTGATATTATTTATATTTATTGTTTATTTAAACACATGAATATTGGTACAAGGGGGCACCAGATATATATGCGCTGCATAAACCTCATTTGATTTGTGTGAGGGCTGGGATACTGCCCAGGTGCCCAAACTGAAGCAGGTGGTTTTCTTAGGGAAACACACCGGGAGCCTTTGACCTAAAAATCTGGTCCACAAGGCAGTGTAGCATTGTGAGGAGATGCAGCCTCATGGTAGCCGGTAACCGACGATTGATTCATACGCCATTTGTTTCCTCAGGATCTTGGAGCCCATGTGCACCATTGGTTTGGAATCAGGGTTTCCCAACTCCCCTAGGTGGACTCGCCATGTCCACTAACCCGGTTAGAGCGCCGAACATTCGCTTTTCGTCCTCTCAATTTCGTAAACAGCACCCCGCAACAAGAAGGTAGTGAATAGGACTTCCCTGGCAGAGGCTATATATTCGCTAGGCCATGTGAGAGCATTTGGAGAGGGAGAGGGTACTCTCCCCTCTCTCGGAAGTATTAGGACATTTGGGGGGGGCTTTAATGTAGAAGTGATCGTTGTACATCCATACTATATATATATATATATATATATATATATATATATATATATATATATTGTTGGTTTACTTAGCTATTGGTGAAAAAGACGTTTCCGATAACTGAAACTCAGGATACTTGATGCTACTGCATCTGGACTGCACCCCAACTACATCCAAATCAACGTGTTGGTACAAGGATCTGTCATTCCGTTTCAGTGTTGCTCTGCTAATTGTGTACAGGTCTAATGTACTTACGTTTTAGGCTGCAAAATACTAAACGGTACTGTGTTTTCTTCCATGTTTGCCAGTGTGTTCTCACCAATGACACTGCTCAATAAAGACCCAAAGTCTTAGCAACATCGAAATCGTTTATCGTTAACTCAATAACTGTCGTTGTAACTCACTAGTATAATGCAATATTGCATTTTATGACGGGCCAGTTGTCTGCTACACCGACCTCGCTTAGTATGCCAGCATCGCTGATGTGACAAACCTACCCAAAAGTTAGTTAATTTCCTTATTACACCTAAGTACACTAAGTGCATCGAATCTAGGGGAAAGTTAAAATCATATTAACTTTAGACATTTTGAAATGCAAGACACCCTTACGGTGAATGCCTTGGCTTTGCTTACGAAAACTTTCATCAATTCGTAGGGCATATTCACCGTTGGAAAGGTCATGCTATCGCCAAAACGTCGTTCTCTGGTTTCACACCTACCATAGTCTCCTATCGTCATGAAAATAATGTTGCCTGGCAAACTGTTCATCCGATCTGCAAACTACATTATGGATCAGTCTCGAAAATTAGTACCTGATCTGCCGTACATTGTTCGGAGCGTCTTAAGAACATGGAAAAGTTTGGAAGCAAAGTTTCCTGACACTGGTGTTTATTACTATCTTGGATTGGAAGCCAACTTACTGAGACTTTGTTCGCCTAATAATCAAACAGACTAGCCAAATCGCGTATTAATGTAAATGGTTTATTAATCTGTAAAGGTTCAAACCAACAATTGTAGCTTATATTGGTTCGCATTGTTTTTCCCAGGAATAACGATGTCTTTGTTATAGCTTTACTTGATGGACTCACTAAATTATTCAACTTCAATGGCATGATTTTGGATGTCGTCTCGAAGTTAAGCTAATTATGATCTGTTGTGCTTAGTAGCAATAAGTTTAGTGAATCTATAACTGTCAAACTCAAACTAGATTTCCTTAACCGATGTCACTTGTGTTTTACCAAAGTTCTCTTGTATTTCCTCATTCTTGTTTAATTGGGAACTTAAATTTTCCTCAATGGAATTTCTTACGAACGTTGATTCACCAGCTTTGTTGAGACAAGGAGAACTGATTTCTGAAGCAATGAGTTTTAAATGTAGTGTGGCATTCATCGAAATTGATTGGTAGCTCAGATACATCCATAATTCACCCCCTAAGTTTCGAGCATAACACACTTCTATATTTTCAAGTTTTGTCCATTCCCTTCTGAATCATTTTATCTTAGAATCAGCACTCTCTTTGCTTTTCATTTTGTTCGATTCAACTTCAGGCTTGCGCGCGTTCTTATTAGATTCTTAATTCACTACATCTCTTTCATCTTACTACTATATTTTGTTATGCACATTAGTAGGTATAACTGCGGTTATTAACAGTCGGACTATTCATTCAATTTATCTAGAATTTTCATAGGCTCTTTTATATTCTTTTGTTATGTCCTTTGCATTTCGATATGGCCTAAAAAAATAAGATCAAATATTTTAGGTAAGTAGTTGCGCCACTTTTATATGATAGAACCTCTGGTCCTGAAAAGTTCCTAATGGTGGTCTCCAACTAGGCACCTTGGACTCCACCGATATTCTCTATCGTCATCCAGCTAGAAAATATGTCATCCGTCGATGCAGACTGTTTGTAATACCAATTTTCTTAAATCTAAGTAGCAAATAGACCCGGGTCAATTTTAATTAACTGTATCACCATTAATAATCGTCTTTGTCCTGCGAAGCTAAAAGACTTAACCGGAGTAAGAAGTGGCTGACACGAAAAGAGAAGTACTGACTTACGATCTCAGTGAAATCGCTACGTAGATCCAATACAACATGAGTCCTCTCACTAACTCGATGATTCAAATGAAAGTAGGCCAACGGATTTTTAATACCGAATGGGAATTCAAATGCACAGACCGGAGACCTAGGGACAACATTAGTTATCTTAAATGTTCTATGGAAATTCGTCAGTTACAAGTTTCTTAAATTATGTACATGAAGACACCTTTACACAGATAGTTACATGCTGTCGGTATTTTCCAAGTTCTTCAGCTACTTTTTGTATTTTCTTGGTATTTGTAGGATCCTGAAGAAAGAATATACTTGGCTCCTATACAGAGTCTGCCTTCAAAAACATTGGTTTGGGACACAAAGGCCTTTATTATTTTTTCTACACAAATATTTCCTGGTCAAATACACTTATCAAAAGTATCCAATCACAGATATTAACGTGCTTCTTATTATATTGGGGTCAGTCATAGTTAAGCTCAAGAAGTCCTATATTACAAGCCAATGTTAAGTGCTAAACTACGCTGTAAGTTAAACTTCATATTAAACATATAGCTGGTAGTTCTACGTGGATTGGCTCCTGTCAGCTTTGATGACTCGATTCTACAATGTTCTACTTTGCAAAATAAGTTTGAAGTGCCAAAAAATTTCCAGTCAAGTTTTCTTACCTCAGAAAAATTATATTCTCAACATTTTCTACACGTAACCTACTTTTTCACTTTCTAACAATCTTAGTTACACGAAGCATATCTCAATAGATTTCCACTCACTGTTGCTAATCCAGCTGTTACCCAATTAGTCACTTGTAAGGGCTCTACTTTCGTGTGTCATAATAAGCCCATAGAAACAAAAAACCAAAGTTGTCAGACTGAAACACCTTATACCGAAACAAACTTAGAAACTTTGTCTACAAAAGTAGACCAAATCTTTCACAAGTTAAACTGTGTAAGTACTGTGCTATTGGTATTATTTAATGTTTTGTTTTATTCTAGTATACATACTTGATATTTTTCAGCATGTTGTTGGACGTAACTTTGCAAATTTATCTTTTTGCTTGGAAACCAGCATAGTCTTATTACAGTTTCGTCTACAAATAACTTTTTCCCATAAATATATCACACAAGTGAACAAGAGCATTTCCTGAATGTTTACAATTTTGTAAACAACTCAGTTTAATTATCAGGGAACCCATAAACTCATTGTATTTATATCATGCTTTCACTTTTTTACAACTATTGGTGTACATCAAAATCAGTTAGTAGCAAAGGTCGCGTGATATAATAGCTATCGTTCCTTATTGAAGTTCACTGTATCCTCAAATTATTTCCCTCTTTCACCTTTAACTGAATGCGTAATATCAACATTAATAATATATTGGTTGAGTTACATACAATGGTAATAAGGTTCTATTGTATAATTGCTAATCCACTGTCTTGTGTTCAAATAAATCATCTGCTTATCCTATACCAAACTTCGTGAATGAAGGGCTCATTAGACTCGATGACTAACGATCAATCATTTTATTGTTCGCCAGATTACGAAATTTTTGATATATTCAAGTGGTGTAAATCTAAACAAAAGTAGTTTAATAGTTAAGAGCTAAACCTTCAACCATGGAGTTACAGAATCGAAGTTTTTCTATCGTCTATTTACACAATTTGTCTGTATTGTTACTTACGCCTGTTACCCCTCTTGGAGGAACAAAGGTCGCCCATCAGTATTCTCGATCTAACTCTGTCCTGGGAAATCCTTTCTAGTTGTTATTCCCTCCTGTGATGTTTGCTTCCGATTCCTGACGTATTGTGTTCTTGGGTCTTCCTCTTTCCCCTTTGCCTTCAGGGTCCCAATTTAGCACTTGCCTCGTGATGCAGTTTGGTGATTTCCTCAATGTATGTCCTATCCACATCCACCGTCTTTTCATAATTTCCTTCTCCGCTGGGAGCTGGTTTGTTCTCTCCCACAATAGGCTGTTGTTGATAGTATCCAGCCAACAGACATTGAGTATCTTGCGTAGACAATTGTTTATAATCACACCAGTTATTACTATTTATACAAGTGGTTTTACACGCAAAGCGATTGTTTTGTTTGGAACCACTAATTGTTTTAATTAGTCTTTGCAATATATTATCGACTTACGATTTCACCGACGGTATTTAATTCTATTAATAAATATTTTCTGTATCTAATTTACTCATCTTTGTTTCTGTACAGCATGCAGTGAAATCTATTTCAGAAAGCAAGATAAAACACTTCCCCAAATTGTGGTTGGATTTAGGTGAATTGAACTATTCACCAGCACAATATAATCTAGGTGTATGGTATGAAATACAAGCATCTGAGTGTCTGTCTGTTCAAGATGATCTGAAACGTCATTATAACAAACAAGCTGGTCATTGGTACAGTTGTGCTGTTCGGGGAGATTCCCATCCACTGGCTGCCTACAATTTAGCATGTCTTATTCTGGATTCTGAAGAGCCCATAATCCATTCAAACTCATCAGATAAACCTTTCACATTTACAGTCACAAACCTAATGAAACTGGCCGCTGATGGTAATGTCAAACAGGTTAGTCCTGTTTTTGGTGAAAAGCTTATATATCCAGCATAAGGACTCACTGTTACAGCACGTACTTAATTGTCATGATTCTAGTTTACAAATCTTATCAGCCTAAAATAAATTCTTGTTTAACATTACTTCGAACTTTAATAGTTATCTTGTTTATGACCGTACATGCTTTCAAAAAGACGTTCGCCAACTACATCAAGTAAGATAACCCAAGGTAAATTGATTTATATTGATCAACATTTGATCTATGGGCCGTCTCTCTGAACCTAGTGCTGAACAGTTGGTTTAAATATTTATCCAACTTACGTGTTCTCTCCATTATGAGCTATTTCTTCACATAAATTCTACGCAGTCAAATTTCACTTATTTAAAGGATAATAGATGTACAAAATATAAGAGAAACCGGTAATTAGGGTGTTATTACTGAAATAGTGATATTGATCGATGTGTTTTTAATTCATCTATGTGGAAATGTAGTATTATTATAGAATAAATGGATCGCCATCTTAGTTTCCAGGAATGGCATTTTAAACTACCACTAGTGTGTACATGTCCAGCTATGCCAACACCCAATAATTATGATAAAAGAGAGAACTATGGCATCTAGACTTTTGATTTCCTCCTGATATGAACTATATACCAGTTAATGGATAAGGCATTTTGCTACCTAAGATTTTGATTCATGTGATTACGTGATCCAAATCCTATTGGATATTTATTCCTGTCTTTCAACCAATCAACGTAAATTATTTGACAGTTTTCTTGCGTTGGAATTTTAGGTTCTAATTTTCACCAGTGTAAACTGCATTCACTTCCTAATCATTATCAAGACTGGATCATAGATCTTTTGGGAAATGTTTTGCTAAAGTAAAGTATAGTGTTCATTATTTTGATAGGTTTTATGTTTATGTAAAGTTATAAGAAACATTTTATTTTATCTTTATTCAGGCAAAGAAATACTTATCGGAACAAAGTGTTACAAATACATAATTGATTGGCCGGTTGTTTGAAAATTCCTATTTTTTTCTATCGTTATTTTATTTTGAAAGCATTTACACTAAAAAGTGCATTTCATGACAACTTTTTTAACAATCGTCTTTTTACTTTAGTATTTTTCATATCCCTCATTATTACTTTGAAATCTTAATATAAAAGACAACTAGAGGAAATTATGTCTTATTTTTGCTGAATGGACATACGTCACAAAGCCTTATTAATATTATGACTGTGTACCACTGCCATTGTGTATTGAGAGCAATTCATTTAGCATTATAATAATTTGGAAAGGAAGTTTTGAATACTTCAGTCATTACGGCCAACAGTACAAATACGTTTATAATTTAATTGACTGATAATGTATAGATGGATAGTGTTAGAAAAATATTGATAATTCGAAAAAAAAGCCAGATAAAAGAATTTCGACGTCTTTACTTTAAAAACACTTTTCATAACTGGCAGTCAGAATCACCTGTTCTTACATTTAATCACCAAGCTAAATATTTCATTTTCTCTCTATTCTAGTTAAATTAGACAACCATCTATGGTCTGTCCAGTAAACTAGGTTATGTAACAAGAATACCTGAACAATTTGTCTATTTTGAAGGACAATGGTATACAAGTCTCACAGGCATAAGATCGTTTTGATAAAAATATGTTCAACTTTTTGATCGTCAAATATCAGGGATAGATCTCTTGGCACAACAATATTTCTATAAATCTTTGTTCCTATCGTTATGTAAGAGTTCACAACAATAACTGACTTTCCAAGCTACATCATACTGTTATATGATGTTACCTACTGGGTCGTTTTTTAGCACAGCCTATTATCTATACTTGAGATAAATATTTAATTTCGTGAGGATGCTTTTTTCTATTTCCATAATTTATATTTTCTAGTCTAAATAATAGTTACTCAGGTGCTTCTGTTTGAATTTACCATTTCTATGGGATTAATTAAAATAGTTATCAAGTGGATTGATGATATATATACACACACAACTATTTTCGTCAAAAATAGATCCTTATTTTCATGCACGTTCAATTTCTCAAGTCAGCTGCTCTTCCAAGTTCCGTAAAAATAACGTTGTTGCTCGTTGACTGGCGGTCGGTTCAATCATTCACATTCTTATAAACTTCGAAAAAGGATGTTCGATGACGCGAATCAATCCCAATTATGTGCGCCTATAGAGACTAGAAATTCCAAATTCATCAGTTAGAGCGATGATCTTTATTTCTATAATGATAAAGAACTAACTTAATCAACTTAAAAATAGTATATATTTTTGTTTAGATGAAAAGATCAACATTATTATTATGAGTGTAGAAAAAAAGAAGGAAAGAATTTATAATAAATCTAGGAAAAGCGAAGGGCGAATTGAACAAAATGTGGGTTTCAATAATAAATGTTAAGTAATATTAATAGTGAGTAGGTCCATTTTCTGATAAAGATACAATAATAATTACAATATACCCTTACATAGAAAAGAATTCGCTCACTGGAATGAAAAAAACCAATAGGAAGATATTACAAAACAATACAGTAGGTTAACCGTTATTAAACATGTAAACAACATAAATTATCACAGTTCCAAAAAGTTGAAAACACCAAAATTTTCTGGTAATTGTATGATAAATCAAATAAAGTACTGACTGATTATCTTACATTCAGAAATTAATAAACATAGTACTGACTAGTTAGTTAGGTTTTAAGTAAGAAAAATAAAAGATACATTCAAAATTGTCTGGTGATGATAATCATTAAGGTACATGTTTAGTTTGAGTATCTGGACAATTTGTGTCTGTATTTGTCGGAGTCTTCACATTCATACTTGTTTTAATATTATCCTCCAAGTTAGATGATGGGAATTCTAGAAGTTCTATACCCTGTTGTACTTGTGTTAATGTCTGTTGCATCTAAAATTTAACGAAAAAATGTAAGTACACAAAAGATTGATAGATCAATTATGTAACTAATTATTCAACAGGTGTATAACTTATATGTGAAAGTTATATTTGAAATAATCTCAGCGATTGAAATCTAAATAATTCCAACGTTTCGTCCAGCAAATTTGCTGTAACTAACAAGATAAATTTGTCACCTAGACTGATATATATATATTCTCTTACCTGTATAAGTGTTTTAGATAACAGATGTATGAGATCCTTCATCACTTTTAATCGTGTTCTTGCCCATTCAGGTGATTTTGAAGCTAAATGATCCTTGTAAATTGGTATAGATCCTCGATCTTCTTGTGGCGATGTTCCAAACAGATCCTGAAAATGATTCCGGTCACGGGCTGATAAAGGAGGAAATTGTTCTGCTAGTTTTTCTAAAACTACTAGCCGATTATATACCATTGATAAGAATAAGCAAAGTAATAAACCTCTGTGGAAAAAATTCAACAAGGAAAATTTAATATCTGATTTCAGAAAATTAATAGTACGGAAATACATATATAGTTTCGAGCAAAATCTTAAAATGAACTAACAAATGAAGTATTATTGAGTGTGGGAAAAATTGTTGCTTTAAATCTCTATATTTAACCAGTGGCAACTTGGACCTGGTCCTACGTCGTAGTTGACTGACTGATTTAATCAGTCAGACAAACGAGTTTGAATACAAATTGAGAAAATGGACATCTATTTCTTATTCATTGTGATCTCGTAAAAGCAGTTTTGTTATCTCAATAAAATTAAAGTTGGTTCACTACTATGAATCTTTGTCTATTGCTTTGTAACCCCTGAATTTATAAGTACACTGGAATGTTTCGAGTAGGTACAGTCTTGTGAAATGCAAATGCAACAATCTGGCGATTTTCGATTCATGGGTATAGTAGTTTTTACAAAGTATGATAACAAATCGATTTCAAAAGTCTAACGTAATGAAATATGCCTCACTTCTTGAGTTCATAAGGAACAGTCGCAAAAACTTATGCGGCTCTTTCAATTAAGTATACAGTGGATACAAACTGACTTGAAATTGAAATATGGAGTAAAAGAAGTAGAAGTTAATTTAGTTTATGATACAGTATTGATTAAATAGTCCTATAAAAAAGTTTATTCGTCGAATTATCTAAAAAATAGTGTTATGACTTTATAAAAGAAGGCCGTTGCCAATTCGCTATGATTTTATGTCCGGCTTTTATAATGTGAGTTATCCACCAGTCGGAATATGACTTGTCTAATTTTAACACTGGGTCAAATCAATGACGTTCAATTGATATGAGCAGTCTAGCGTCCTTATTGATCCCTTGTCCGCCTAACCCTTCCAATCGAGTCCAGAACACCGATTGCAGCTTCTGCTATGCGAATCATTTATTTCAAGCATACTCAGTTTATATACCAGACACAGACCGCATCACGTCATAAAATAGAAAATAATATTTGTACAAGATCAAGCTAAATATGGCCGTGAACGTGAGAAACAGTAATCAGTAAACGGAGTATAATTTAGGACCAGTAAATCGTATAGTAATAATTCATAGGTCATAATGAAGCTTATAATAGGATGAATTTAGATATACATAATCTAATCACTCAATAGTTAAACAATAAGAAAATATCTAGAATAATCATCCAGGAATAGGTCCCGGAAGTGACTCGTACTCATGTCTTCGCTAGGATATAACAAATGGTCTTTTTATTCAACTGGCATTTGGATATACACAATAATACTGAATTCTAATCAAATAAAGAATTTTACACAACTGGTACAGGGGTTACATAGTCTGTTGATGTATCTACGATTCACTGAGACAATATGCTGATCGACTCCTACCACAACGTATCTTCCATTCATATGTGGCGTATTAATCGACTCAGCCATTCGAACAATGAATTAATTATGTCATAGAGCAGTACTCCGTATCAAACAACTACTAAGTACGTGTTTATGTACTGTTTTTTTTGAGTTACGCTGTATGTGGGATAGTGATGTAGCGAGGTTAGAGCCTGTAAGTTTCTGATTAAGAGATGAGTGTTCCAATCATTAATTTACTGCTCTAGTCATTAGCTCATGAATAACTCAGATATTTTACTGGTAATTGAGAAAAGAATAAGTGCAACAAAATAATAAACCTCTTTCTTTGGTCACTAATTTATTGGGGAACTCTCGAAGTAAATTTAACACACAAAAATACTTGTGCAAAAAAACCACTTACATAATAACTAATAATAACCAAGCGCGGTCTGGACGCATAAATAAGTAAGTCATGTCACCAGATCCGAACAGTGTAGTTTTATTTTGTTTTTTAACATTTGTATTATCATTTATACAGCTGTTGAATATAGATGATTTTGCTTGATCAGAATATCGTGATGCAGGGACTTTGCCATTGTTTACATTCCCTGTAAACAATGCATCAGCTTTATTAAGTTTACGATTATTCTGATTGCCATTAACACTTCGAATTAATAGTGAATTATTTTGAATATTTGATGGATTTAACGGAGGAGTAATATTGTTTAAACATCCTCTCTGTTGTGTTAACCAACCACCAGTTAGACGTTCTTCTAAGGATAAATTTGTAGCGAATTCTTTTAATTTAATAGTTATTGTATCAAAGAAATCCGAAAGACCAGAATGACAAGTGTTTTCTATGATACTTTTTGCGCCAAAAAAGACTGGTTTCTCATAAATAACTTGTGAACTAACGTGTAATCGGCTAGTTGTACGATTTACATATAATAAACAATAACGACTAACTACATAGAAACAATTACTTAGTGGTACAGCATGATTTGTAACTTTAGCATCAATGATATATCTTTTCCCAGATATGGATTCACTTGGGAGAAGAGTCTGAAATTCACAAGAAAAAGTAAAAGTTTTTCAATATTTAACTTTTGCGTTAATTTATCTAAAATTGAACAAAAGAAAAGGTATCGGTTGAGTAAAAAGACGTGAAAGAATAATACAAAGTCAAAATGAACACTTCCGACATATATATTGTTATTTATAATATCCTTAGTTAGAAAGGCAAATAATTACAGTTGAAGGGAACATATAAAGAGAATTATTAACAGAGTTCTTTTCTGTACGATAAACAAATGCACCCAACGCAAAATGCATGAATTCTAACCATAGACTATATATTTGTATGATGTTAACTAACACCGTTGATCAATATGAATGGCCAAAACAAGCTGTGCTATGAAAGTAAATACAAATTACAAATAATTAATCGATGTTTGTTAAAACTAACATAATCTATGCGGATATTGGTATCAGAAAGTTAATCAATATTACATACACGATTTAATTCAAACATTCATTAATAGGGAATATAACCATAGTAAATGATAATAAACTCAAATGGTAAAAAATTAAACAAATGATTACAAATATATTCTAAAAAGCCGAAAGTTCTCAACTATTATCAGACCCTAAACTGTATGTTTTCCTAAATTTCAATGAAGTTAAGGTGATTATGGTAAGAGACTAGTTCGCAAGTATCATTAATCTTTGCAGGGTAGAAAGCTTGTAACATTTATATTCAAACAGATGAAAAAACTTAAAAATAATCACGAAGCTTTGATAAATAATGACTATTTTAGTAAAAAAAAATCAACCAACAATACACTGGAATTGAAATAATCTTACTATTAAATGTTTACATTGACGATAAAATGCAACTGTATATAAAATCAAAATTACTGAACTGTCAGACATATAACATCGCCTAGGTGGAATGTGCAATGAGTCAATGAAACACGACACTGCACTGTTACTTTCTTTTTTTTCATCTCAGTTAAATTTATGTCCATATTGATAAAATAAATAATGAAAATCTGGTTATTTGTTCGATTGCCACAAGATGTTTTTGTAAGGCAGTTCTTCCCCTAAAATTGGTTTTGGCCTCTGCCAAGAATGTATACCTGGCGAAAGCGATTTTACAAAGGTGAGAGGCTGAAAAGCAAACGTCTAAGGCTCGAACTCCAAGCTGACGATGTACATAGAATCTAGAAATGAAGAATAGTCTACTTACCTATTTAGACCACTGGCTACTATGGGAGTGCATCTTATGAAGTTGCTTAGTCTCCTTGTGTATTATAATCTTGTTTCAGAGCTTATAAGATTATTTTCAAAAGAAAACCACTTACTTCAATCTGGGCCTTAAGATATTAATTTGGGAGTTCGCACACAAGAATGAATGCGAAGCATGAAGTCATTAACTTATTGTTATATGTATGAGTAATAGGAGAACAATAAAAGCTTCTAAAGTGGATCCAACATTCTTTATTGAGACAACTTATGTGATAGTCTGAATTATACAACAAAAAGGAACTTGTTACTTTATTCCCTAAAAGTTCACATTACCTTTTAAGAGCTTAAAAGACATAATCATATAATCCAAAGAGATGATGAACTACCTGAGAATTAACCAACATATATATATATATATATATATATATATATATATATATATATATATATATATAAACTATACATCCTAGTAGATAAAGTATCGCAAACGTTTTATCTGGTAATGGAAACTATATACACAACCAACAAAATATTCGCTTCCTTCTAGCACTACTTGTTATTAGTAAGTAGCATGATATTTATTTACACAAAAAGATCCGACAGCAGACAATGTTCACCTGCTTTCACAACAACTCGAAGGAGACTACAATAGCAGGTTAAAAAGAGAAATCTATCGTTACAACTTTTATGTCTTTTTATAAATAAAGAATTTGTCATAGAATCTTGGAAAAAGAGCATGCTAATTAAGTAGATAAACAGCATAATTAAATGGGAGACGGTCAATAAACATCTTTGATTTAGATCAGAGGGGGTTTTTGTGGAGAATTTAGTATTTTCACAGTTGAAATCATGAGTCAATTGAAGCTAGACCACCATCGAAAACCTGGAAGCACTGGACGGGTTCGTGGATGCGCACTGCTGAGGAGTCCCATAATAGGACGAAACGGCCGTCCAGTGCTTCCAGGTTTACGATGGTGGTCTAGCTTCAATTGACTCATGATTTCAATCTTTGATTCAGCAAGAATTACTAAGCTTTACTTAAAAAGTTGTCAAAATATTAAGAAATAAATTGTAAAATAATTACCTGTTGTTCCACTGCAGTGCATGTTCTTGGTCCAAGTTTCTGTTTTAATGTCAGCGTATAGGTAATAGTTCGTTCAATTTTACAAGAAGTTTCTAACTGATTTAGACATTCTGAGGGACTAGACCACTTGAATACTGGCCATGGAGATTGAATCATTCCAAATGTACCACGATGTTCACTGAATCGCGAGAAGAATTCCGAATCCGTAAAAATACATCGAAATAAAGCGTTAACATTCAGTGGAATGTCAGTGTTTGCATACACTCTACCTGGATGATCGTGACCTGGACCACATGTGATAGGAGGTTCCACAGAACTTACTACGGATGTATCTGGAGGTGATGGATCGTGAGTACTTAAGTAATTAGGTTGCATTAGTTTCGAATTAGATACTTCATCATGATGGTGAGATCCGAGACGCTTTTTTCGTGTACGTTTCTTTTTCTCTTTCACAGATTTATGAGGCACTTGGAAACTATCTGACATAACTTCATTAGGTGTAGTTCCTGATGTTAAATGACATTTAACTTCAGGGGTCGTACAACCTTTGATAGTGTTTAGTTGTTGAGACTTTGGTTCATCCTCAATTGTACTGAAGTGACTTGGATCTGAAAAGGATGGAACACGTTTAAAAGGAATATCAGCATCGGATACAACTTTTAATTCATCATCCGTAGTTCCTAGTACTGAACATTTAGAAGAGCGATCGAGATTAACTGGTTGATCCGAATGGCACACATCTTCAAGCGAAACCGACTTCGATCGACCACTGAGTTGTGAAGACAGAGATGAATCGGATAAAGTTCGCGGCTGTTTGTGATGAATACAAAAAGAAAAGTGGTATATATATATATATATATATATACGAAAAGGATCATAATGGTGATCATGATTTTTAATGAAGCAAATACAACTGAGTATAAAAATCCAAGTTTGAAAATTAATGGTTTTCAGTAGATTTAAAAGTGGTTCTCAAAACAAGTAAATTTCGCTTGATTATCGGTTGAGAGATTGCAACAGTTATTGTTCAACCACTGAAATCTACCGCCATTATGGGATCGGAACATGAAAAATGTTTAAATAGCTTGGTGGAGTATGAGCAGGTGAAACGAATCTTAAATATTTTGATTCTCAATCTTAATAGAGAAAGATTTTACACTAATTCGGTGGTTTTTCTTTCGCAGTAGAGGCTTCTGTTTATTCATATGGTTAAAACTTATGACAATATGAAAATTTTGTGTTGAGATAAATATCAAGCGAAAGTGAGCGTTCGGAACGGTCTTATCGGAAATGATTGTTTATACTTCTGCTATATAATTATTAAACACCCAAACGGTTCTTGTACATGCAACCTTTTGTTTGACAAAGAAATTGTTTTAATTTTTATCTTTCTTAAATTATTGTTAACTTATTACGGAAACATCATTCAGTTCTCTTCTATTTATGACGGAGTCATGCCAAAATTGTAATTTCTTAATCCTGTTGATGTGTGGTCAGGATTTTGCTCCATATTATTGTATGAGTGATTCGAATGGTATGATTAAAAGTCGTGTGGTTGCTGAAATGTTCTCTATTTTGGTTATCGAGAGAGCAGGCGCGGGAAACTTTATTCTAAATCAATAGTCATCTAGTGTTACTCTCAGCTATTATGTCACATTTAGCACGTCACTGATTAGCCCAAGGTCACTGGTACCAGATAAGCAGTCCAAGCGAATTATCATTATTCCAAACAGATCAGTACAACTACTCTCTCATCTGAAGGTTCAAAATCACGGGCCCCATATAACTAAACAAGAAAGTCTGTTTATTTTCACGGATACATCCAACACGTGTGGTTTGATGTGTTAATAAAATTATGAGAATGAACTACAAATCACTGAATTTAAATATCTTAAAAAATCCTTCATAATTATTTTCTGTCCTAGATAACATATTCATTTTTAGATTTGGTAAGTTCTAAATTTGATAACAAGAGTATTAGTAATAGTACCTAATTAAGACTAAATTTTCTAAGGAGAGGACCTAATATAGGCTTGAAACTGTGTATTTTTGACTAGGGTCGTTATCATGCTACGGGTTTAATAAATAATCACTTGTACAAGTTTTGATGATCTTACTTCGCATAGTCGGAATTGCAGTGGTTCCTTATTTTCCAAGTATATATTATAATCGAATCTGACATAACAATTAGCAACGACCAGTCAAAACATAAACCCTATATTGATTTATAAGAATTCGGTTAACAACTGATCAATTATCATTTCAATTCAGATGAATAGGGACTTTCAATAGTTAAAAAAATTTTTCTTATTTGATATCATTCCCTGATAATGAAAAAAAACTATCCATAAACTAATTATGATTTTTAACATTAAACAATTTCATATTGAGTCCAATGTAACCGGAAAATAATTAGGAATAAACTACTGATTTAATTAATATACAAAAAACTGAAACAAACAAAAAAAAAACAACTCTCGTTGAAAATAATAATCATAACACATCAACGGTATTCACAAAAAACCCCTCATAATCCATGTGACTTTCGACTGATTTCAAATGAGTGTTTTTACACGTTTTTTTGTTTGTTTTATATGGTCAAATTATAAAATAAATAAAAAAATGATGGTAAACAAAAAAAATATAGTGTGTAAATAACATTTGGAGAATTTAAAGAAAAAAAAAGAATTACCTAAAACATTTTCAACATAGAAACAATGAACTGTATTTATAAGAATACACTATGAAGTTTAACGAAACATCAACAGACTATATGTTTTCATATATAAATAAATATTAAGTTGAAAAAAACAAACAAACCCGATTATGTAACTGAATAAAATTGTTACTGGTTTCATAAGAGTATAGTAGGATTTTAATGTTTTGTGATTACTATTCCAGACTATTTACCCACGTTTGACCTCTTAATTCTTATGTTTAATTATTGATAAGACTTTTGTTATCTTAATTTACTATTTTTACTACTATCAGTACACCTGTCTTCCCACTATCAACTTGTACTTTTAACTATTATTATGCTTGGTAACGTATTCTATTTCATTGTGATTATTATTGACTCAAATAGCCTTGATTGGTCTAACATTTTCATATAAATATTCATGTATATTAGAGTAAAACCTGATGACGATCTAATTGAAAACAATTGTTCGTTTGTAATTTTCTACCTCTTTCCGTTTGTATTCTTCACTATCTATTTACTTAAAAAAAAAGAATTACCTAAAACATTTTCAACACAGAAACAATGAACTGTATTTATAAGAATACACTATGAAGTTTAACGAAACATCAACAGACTATATGTTTTCATATATAAATAAATATTAAATTGAAAAAACAAACAAACCCCATTATGTAACTGAATAAAATTGTTACTGGTTTTATAAGAGTATAGTAGGAGGAAGTTCATTTGACAATGTAAAACTAATGCATTTATTAAATACTTTAAGAAAATAAGAAACATTTTATTAATGGTATAAAGTAGTATAACCAGTTGAATAAACACAGATTATCTTTCTGTAAGTTTGATTTAGTGTGTTAAACCATTTTTTTAATGTTTAACCCACTAATGATGACGAACGGTCCATTATAACAATCACTGAGACTCAAGAACAGAGGAACAAAGCGGTGGAACACTTAGAGGAACATTTGAATAGACCAGCTCCGTTAAATCCACCGGATATCGAAGCAGTACTTCCTTGACTACGAAAAAGCACTTGAAAATGCGGATAGGAGAACACCTTCCTCGACAATATGGTGTGCCTGAGAAGGTCGTCAACTTTACAAGGAACCCATACGACGGACTACACTGCATAGTCGTGCATGGAGGACAGCTAACATATAACTCCATTCCAACTAACGACCAAAGTCAAACAAGGCTTCTTACTCTACCTCATCTCTTTCTTTTAGTGGTTGACTGGATTATGAAGACCTCCATATCTCAGAGGGAGTATGGGATACAATGAATATATTGGACACAATCAGATTATTTGAACTTCACAGACGACCTAGCTCTTATAACCCAAACACACCATCAAATGTAAGTGAAGACAGCCAGTGTAGCAGCAGTAGCCCTCAACAAACACAATGGAAAAACAAACATCCTGAAATACAACTTGGAGAACATCAACCCAATCACATTTCATGGAGGAACTCTGAGAGATGTGAAAACTCACGTAACTGGACAGCATCATCGATGAACAAGCAGGATCTGATACAGATATAAAAGCAAACAGTAGCAAAGTAAGGACCACACTCCTACAGTTGAACAACATATGCAATTCACAACAACTGTCTGCAAGCCAACATCAAAGTCACAATCTTCAATACGAAAATCAAAACAGTTAGCTCTACTGTAACGGAGCTGAAACTTGCAGAACTACCTCAACCATCATCAAAAAGGTACAGGTATTTATCAACAATTGTCTACGCAACATACTCAATGTCCGTTCGCCAGATACCATCCGCAACAGCCTACTGAGGGAGAGAACAAACCAGGTCCCAGCTGAGGAGGAAATTAGGAAAAGATGTCGGAAGTGGATAGGACACACATTGAGGAAATCATCAAACTGCATCACGAAGCAAGAGCTAACTTACAATCTTGAAGGGAAACTGAAAAGAGGAAGGACAAAGAACACACTGCGTCGAGAATCGCGAGCACACTTAAATAGGATAAATAGCAACTAGAAACAACTGGTAAGGATTGTCCAGAACAGAGTTGGATGGAGAGTGCTAGTGGGCGGCCTATGCTTCCCCACGAAAGGTAACAGGCGCAAGTAAGTAAGTAATTAGCTCAAATGGATTTCACTCACTTACACCTAATTAGGTCAATGTGACGAGGTAGTATCATTAACCTTGAAACAATAAATATAGCTCAAATCAAATTCAACAGCTTTATATCTCGGTCAGTGTAATGTGTTAAAGACGATAAGTGAACATATGCAGTTAGCAAATATTTCATTCACCTCATTGGATGACGGTTCACTTAGAAAACAAATTTCACAACGGATTGTTATCAGTTGAAAATTTTCCAAAATATGTTATATCCTATTTCAACACTCTAAAGCAAAAGATACTTACAAAGTTATATAGGAGAATTCATCATTGGATCCTAAATTATTAACTAAATAATATCGTTTACACTAGGCATATCTGAAAGCTTTATTTTCAATCTTATTGTGAGGATGGTCCACAGGTGAAGTCGAGGAAGCTCTAAGAAGCCCAGAAGGAGCCCGACATACTCCATCCAATCAGCTTTAGGAAGAATATTCTAGAATTACGATGTTGAGCTTCCCTATTGGACAATGCTGATAACTCCCCGTCTGCGGATTGGATAACTATAATGATGATTTTTTTTCTACTAAAAACTATAAATGCCTGACAATTTTGTACCATAATCGACACTGTTTGGAATAACATTCCTTCTACTTGTCTTCTGTCCTCTGATTTGTGACTTAGGAGGGTTCTAGCGTTCGAGTGCTCAAGTATCGTGCGATAGACTAAGAAATCTAAGTTCGAGATACAACACCTATGTTAATGCGCTATTGAATTGATTCACATTAAGTTATAGCGATTAATCAATATGCACAGATATTTACCATTTGTTTAATCGGAATAAGTGTCAGTGATTGGAACGCTTTAACCAAACTGTTTATTTGAATAAAATTCGTGTTAATTTCAATCCGACATGATGTATGAAACATTACTATTTTTCTTTCAGTTACCTTTAGAACTGAAAAACATTCCATTGATTTATTCCATGACAAGTCAAATTGTGATCAGATTACTATAAAAATGTATACTGCTGATAATATACACTATTAGTACATTTTAGATTAATTTATATTCTGTACATTAAACAATTTAAATTCTATTATGATGTTTAACATCAATTACTCGGTGAATCATGTCTGTTGACAAGAATCTTTAAATCTTCTATAATCATTTCAAAACAAGGAAAATAAGCCACGATTTCAAAACACTGGTTTAATTAGCTGCATTATCAACCTGATCGATAAAGTTCGATTAGCACTAAGAAACTGATAACAATGATTACAGTTACACAACCTTATATATATATATATATATATATATATATATATATATATATATATATATATATATATATATATATATATATATATATATATATGATTGATGAGTGGAATCACTTTATGAGGTTATTTGTTATTTTTAAAAAATAAAGAATATGGGTGCATAAATTTTTATCAGATTTATTATCATCATATAGTGCTTTTGTTTATATTAACTCTTCGAAAGACCATATATGTATATGATAGATTAAGGCTAATATTGTTCGGAGTGACCTTATATCATATTGTGTAAGTAGACATATTGTTTAACGATTCACTTTAAAATTTCTTTATATAATCTAAATAACTCGTTGTGTGTTATTCAAATTAAGACATCCCATCAATTTGTATGTATTCAATGTTTATTTGTATTAGATATGAAAAGTTTAGACATTTCGTTGAAATATGCAATACATAAGCTGTTGAGAAGTGAACGAAAATCAAAACGACAATCCAGATTATTTCGTAAGTGTAGGCATATTTACAATTGCATGATTTACATGAGGCTGGACAAAATATCTAATTAGCTTAACACCAAAGCAAAATCTTTTAGATAACTATGGTAAACATAGTCTGTATTCATATCTAACATAGAAGCAGACAAGAAATGTAAAATAAACTGATGTGCTTATATTTTGTCGTCAACTGATAATGAAGTTTTTAATATAATGAAATAGTGAAGGTAGGCACTAAATACCCTAGTTAACTTTATTACTTTTAGTCTGTAAACGTTCTCGTATCAAAGAAAACAATGATTCTCAAATAAAATTAGGCATATGTCACTAAATATAGTCACAAAATTTTAATAAGTTAACCTGAATCATCAACTTGACCATAGAAAATTTCAACTATGGATGCTGCTATCGGTTAACATGGAAAGCTTACATTATTAAAGTTAACTATTAAGGATCAGAGCAATGTTGATGAGAGACCAAAGCAGACAACACATGGGAAAATCTACATATTGAAACAGACTCCCAATAATGGAGATGATAGGCATAATGATGTTGTGATGTTTAGAAATTTATTCATCAGTGATTGTTTCATTGTATGTGTTAGACAAATGAAATTTATTATATGTTCTGAAGTACCAGTGTCTGACCTTGTCGATATCATTGTGACACAAAGTATAAGAGGTGAATTCGCATTATTCTGGTCAGTCACAGATATAACACTTATTTACATACAACTGTTAGTTTTCCTTATCAAAGACCGATTCAATAAAATTTAAGCTTTGTAAATAACCTTCAGCATTTAGTTAAGTTAAAAGATAGTGTACAGACAGATACATATTAAAAAACACAATGTGAATGACACGAATGATCTTTCGAGACTTCTGTTCAGATTACAGTACATTTGTATTTGCGATCACAGAAAATCTATCCCTTCTGGAGTTTCGTATTTATGTTAGGTTTACAGTGACCTTTGGTTAAGAAAGTACACAACTGTCGACGTCAAGCTTTACCTGCACCACATCCTGCAACTCTATGTCACAAAACTGAACATCCTCAAGACAAGTTTTCAATTACTAAAGAATCATTTATAAGGACTAGTCAAGCTTAAAAAATGTTACGAAACTAGTGATAGAGATTGGCTGGTGCACTAAATAATCCCATGATCATATACCTAGACTTTAGTAGGCTTTTGCAAAATTAGGGAACATAGTAATTATTAGCATTTCGTAAATATTATATAAAGTAACTAGAAATCGATGAAATAAGCGGAGACAATGGAAACTGTAGCTACATACAGGAACTAGTTAAAGCATTATAAATAATATAAATCATCAAGTGCCTGAGAATTAAAGAACGTATCGAAATACATCATCAAAACAGATTTAGAACAATGAGTCCACAACTTATATGACCGGTTGAAAAAGATGATTAAACTAAACAATTCAGAGCCATAAGAAATTATGGATTTCAAACTAGTATCATCAATCAGAGTTATTCAGTGTGGATAATCCATTTTGGATCATACGAGAGAGAATTTGAACTACCATATAACTAGCCTGATTACATTATTTACTAACAAAGCAGCGACTACATAAGTAATATCAATGCAGTTACTTATTCCAAGACAAAAATCGTGTATCCATTTGTATCCGACGAATTTATGTCGATAACGAATGAGGTATTCTTTGAGTTGAAACAGAAAAACAAATATACAGATGGACACATACAAATACGAAACAGCTTTGTAGTGCACCCTAGTTTTCAGCTGTTCCTTAGTTAGTACTGTTTCATGATGTAAAACAAACAAAATTAATCTTGACAAGACTCTAGGCAAAACCTTATGTATGTTTTTAGAGTTAAATGACTTGGAGATTCATTTTCAAAGTTCTAGTCAGACATCAAAAATAATCAAATTTAGTTATGTACGGAATGAGGTTGTTATATAACGATGGCATTAAATCTTACACTATATTGAAGAAAAGAGAAGCTTAAAATGTAGACTATTGAGTTGTGACTCATTAGCTAAAGGAAATATTTTTTACAGACAGACATTAAGGTTTTATGTACAATTTCTAACGTGATGAAAAGTGTAAACTGCAATTAACAAGTTCTATACTAAGACGGAATATCTATCCAGTGCTAATATTCTAGTTGGTATTAATTTTTGACAAAAACAAACATAATAGAAAATGTGGGACAAACGTCAACAAGAATTAACTTACCCTATGAGGAAAAGTAGTCGGGACTAATTCAGCATCACCATCTGTATCTTCTTCATCTTCAACCATAGCTAAACTATAATCACCATACATATCACGTATTTGTTGTAATATTTCATCAATACTCATTGTCTATATTTATCATACAACAATTGAAGATATGAAAAATGACAAAATGAGAATATTTCTACAACAAATATAAACAATATATTTCACTTGAGTAATAGTACATTATCGATAAGATTTTGTTCATTGTTGGAAAATTCCAACAAATCAATTTAGTTCAAATATTTGTTTCATGGTACATTGTAGTAGTTCACAATCTGATCGTCACTCTCCTATGATTGAACTTAATTGTACAGTTGTGCTGCCAGTGAATTGAATGGAAATATCAAACACTTTGCAGGATTAGTTAAATTATAGTAAACATCCACTAAGAGTGACTAATAAATATGTTTGAAAATACTAGATTTTTCTAAGTAAACATTATGGGTTCCATACACAGTAATTATAAAAGTTCAATTCTTCAAAGATTTTCGCTAATCTGTGACTTAAAATTACGTTGAATTACGGTTGACGAAGATACGATCAATAATGGCAGTCACTATTGTCATCATCATTGTCAAAAGAACTAAACTTTCGTTAATTCTATAACTTTTTTTACATGAATTGGAACGATACAAGAATCAAAAAATCAAGGAAATTCGGTAGCCATTATCCAAGACCGTAATCATCATAGAAACATATGAAACAATTAAACAAAACATAAAAAAACTGGCATGTATGTAAAGTTATTTTACAAGACAACCTACTATTTTAACGAAAAGATAACTTAATTATTTACGTATTATATGACAGATTGGCAATGAAATAAAGATGTTTTTTAAATAAAAGTGTCATTTATATTGTATGATAAGAACATATTCATACAAGTTATTGATAGTGTTAGCGACCAAACAAAAATCTACAGTTCGTGATATTTCATACGAAGATAAGTATACACACGCACACACACATGCATACAAATACGGAGATTGATAAGTTAACTACTCTAATGTTTATAAACATCAAGAGTCCGGCATAAACAAAGCGTAAGCTCAAGCAACTATGAAATCTATTGAACTATCACGAAAATAATTTACTCTGTGTTTTGTTGGAGAACAGAAAGAATTTAATAGTGAGATTAATTGAAACATTTTCTGAATGTTCATTAAATGTTATATACCAAGTACAACATTCAGTCATTTTTCTATTCATTTATTTGGTAAGTAATGTATATTATAGTGTAATGTAAACTTAATATTTTATTGCAAGCAAATAAGATGTTAAATGAACATGTTCAATGCAGCACGTAGCCCCATATGTCTAGTGAGAAAGGGAAATACACTAGGAACCAGGGTTTGAAATGAAATATTGAATGAATATTACTCTCTAATATGCAGTCATTACTTACTAAGTGAAAGAAATAATGATCACAATGCTGAATACGATGAATTGAAAAATGTTGTAAATAACCTGAACCGAATTCACAGTAAACAATTTTCTTACAACGAGCTAGAAAAAGCGAATCTAATTAATCTTTTATAGGTATTATTTTCAGTAAATTGTCCACAAGCAACATAACAAATAAGATAATAACAGTTCTTCTCCAGAAAGCGCGTTCGACAGATATTGTAGTACTAGCCGGAGACTTGAATGCTCAGGTCGGGCGTCTAGGCACAGAAGAGAGTCGTTTAGGTGGCCGATGGGGACTTGTTAGTCGCAGGACAGATAACGGGGACCGTTTGCTGCAACTGTGCACAGACCACAACCTGTTTCTGGCCAGCACTAACTTCCGGCACAGTCATCGCCGGTGTGCCACCTGGCGTCCTCCCTCTGCATCCCAAGCCTGGACTCAGATTGATCACATCGCGATCAGCTACCGCTGGCGTGGTTGTGTACAAGACTGCCGCTCCTTTCGGAGTACCTATCTGGAGTCTGATCATTCCCTGGTCTGCGCCAATCTTACCTTACTTTTCAGTGGCCAAAGGATTGACCACCACCAACGGATTGATGTTAGTAAACTGGCTGCAACTTCTGTTGCAAGTAAGTATCGAGTGGAGCTAGCCTCTAGGCTAGCTACCACCCCACCGAAAAGTATAGATGAGCATTGGTTGCTTCTTCACGACGCCATGAAAATGGCGAGTAAAGCCGCTTGCGGCTTCGCGAAACGTCCCGCTTACAAGCACTGGGTTTCTTCTGGCTCCTTACAACTGATGGAAGCCCGTCGGTCTACTCCGGGTGACCGTGAGTTTGACCACAAACGAAGGCTGTTACGTAATGAAATCGGGCAAAGCTTGCGTAAGGACCGGGAAGCCTGGTGGTCGGAGCGTGCTAATGAGATGGAAGCAGCAGCTGCATCTGGTAACTGCCGGAAGCTCTTCCAACTCATTCGAGCCACTGGCAGCAAGAAGTCTGGTGTGAGTGAAACAATCTACGAGGATGACGGGATGCCAATCACTAACATCTCCCGACGTCTTGGACGATGGGCGGAATTCTTCGAAGGGCAGTTCAACTGGCCTGCTGCTCCGGCAACATCAACCAGCTTGTCCTGCCCCCCATGGCCGGTGACGACTGATCCACCAAACGAGGCGGAAGTCCTCAAGGAACTCCAAGTCTTGAAACGCTACAAATCACCGGGCCCAGATGACTTGCCTCCGGCTCTTTTTAAAGATGGTGGTGACTTTCTGGCTAAGGAACTGACTGCGTTGTTTGGAAAGGTTTGGGAGCAAGAAAGTGTTCCAAAATCTTGGAATGAGTCAATAGTCGTCCCTATCTTTAAAAAGGGTTCACGTTGTTCCTGTAACAACTATCGGGGGATAAGTCTACTTTCGATTGCGTCCAAACTATTGGCTTCTGTCATTCTTCGTAGGTTGTTTAAAACCCGAGAACGATTGACTCGCGAGGAGCAGGCTGGTTTTCGTTCTGGTCGAGGATGCATTGATCACATCTTCACCCTCCGCCAAATGTTAGAACACCGTCATACTTATCGCAGGCCAACAATCGTAGTGTTTCTTGATATCAGGGCTGCCTTCGATTCGTTGGACAGGACTGTTCTCTGGGATTGTCTATTGAAGAAGGGTGTGCCTGAGAAGTTCATTAACATCTTAAAGACCCTGTATACGAACACCTCAGGCAGAGTGAGGGCATACAACCACCTTTCTCCCTTGTTCCATTCAAGCAGTGGGGGTCAAGCAGGGTTGCCCGATCTCACCATTCCTCTTCAACTTTGCTATCGACGACATCTTGGAAACAGCTCTGATGGATGTGAGTAATGGTGGTGTGGATATGTTGCCTGGAGAACGACTTCTCGACCTTGAGTATGCGGATGATATTGTCTTACTGTGCGATAATGCTCAAGGCATGCAATCAGCACTTAATCAGTTGGCAATCAGTGTCCGCAGGTACGGCATGTGCTTTTCACTCTCCAAGTGCTAGGTACTTCTACGAGACTGGCAGGATTCTCATCCTGTACTTACCCTAGATGGTGAGCAGATTGAAGTAGTTGAGAAGTTCGTGTATCTAGGTAGCTACATAAGTGCTGGTGGTGGCGTGAGTGATGAGATTGATGCACGTATAATGAAAGCCAGAGCGGTTTATGCCAATCTGGGCCATCTTTGGCGCCTTCGTGATGTTAGTCTGGCTGTAAAAGGTCGGATCTACGACGCGTCGGTGAGAGTAGTTTTGCTCTATGCTTGTGAAACCTGGCCTCTCCGAGTTGAGGATGTTAGACGTCTCTCTGTGTTCGATCATCGTTGTCTCCGAAGGATTGCTGACATCCAGTGGCAACACCATGTTAGTAATGCAGAGGTTCGGCATCGTGTGTTCGGGCGCAGAGACGATAATTCAATTGGTGTCACCATCTTGAAACACCGACTTCGGTGACTTGGATATGTTCTACGAATGTCGTCCCAGAGACTTCCACGTCGTGCATTATTTGCCGACCCTGGGACTGGTTGGAGAAAGCGGAGAGGAGGTCAGTGTCGTGGCATGAAAGAAAGCTGCAAAGGGCTAGCTTTTGTTGGTCCTTCACGACTCCCTGGTTGGGGTTCGAGAAATAGTGCAACACAGTGGCTAGAGACGTTATCAGATATGGCTCAGAATAGAAGCCAATGGCGATCCTGCTGCAACCTTCTTTTACTTTCTACATAAAGAATGGTTCTAACTTTCCTAACTGAAAGAGTCTTCTGGTTGTACATTTCAGCCCGCCTTATCTTTTCATCCCTTCTCTTCCTACTTTCATTATTTTGTGTGGCGCATATGTACCTGGTGCCCTTTTGTACCAATATATATGTGTTTAAATAATAATAATAATAATAATAAGATAGACGATTAATTATCTTTATGGAAAAGAAATGACAGTATATAGGCCTGTCAACCACAGATTTCGACAGAAAGTCTGAAAAGTACAAAGTTCCTTCATAACTAATATACGATTATACATTTATCTATATAGTTTAGCCCTAGATAACACAACAATTACAAGTTACTTAAAGCACAGAAAACTCTTTCTGATCAGATACAAAAATATGAGCATAAATCAGTGTTTTTTAAGAAACTAGCTTAAGCTGATAGCTCGAAAACTGTATCACTATCATTCACTACAAAAAAAGCTATGAACAATGATATGTCCTTAAAAAAACACTACAATAGTTTGAAAACACTATCAGTTTCATGTAAAAAGAGATAACTAATTTTATTATTTGTTCAACGGGAGCCATGATTTTCAAAGACGCACCCGTTTAATATTAACCTAACGGTTAAAAATGTCAGTAATGATATTTAAATATTGAGCTCATCATTCGATAAACTGATAATCTTTATCTCTATTGAGTCTAGAAAAAGTAGTGTTTTTAGTAAATCTACGTGATAATTAATTCATTGTCTATATTTTGACTAATTAATAACTGAGTAGTAAGAAATGTCATATTTCTTTAGTGTTTAGTGCTGATTGAATTCAAGTTACAACATAGACGTTAGTCCAAATGATTAAAGGCGATTAGTATGAAACCAATGACCTAGGTTTCATGCTATTGGACGTACATTATGAAGGACATACTAGCATTCTAAACGGAATTAATGAACTACATGGAATACGGACATATATCATCCTGCTTCACAGTCACATGCTATTCGGGTTACTATGATTCTCAGGTTACATAACTTACAAAAAAAGGAAGAGTTAAAACACTTGATCTTGTGTATGTTCTTTGACGTCAACATTTTAATTGGAATATATTTCTTAAAAATGATTAAAAAGATACGCTTAAAGTATTTATTGATTTTTTCTAAACGAAATCATTAAATAATTCAGGCTGAATTTAACACAATTCACTGTTTTTAATGATGAATTCGCATAACCAATAAACCTATTAGATATAGAGCACAAACTGGAAATAAAATCTCTGGAGTATGTAACTTTAGACATTTTAACTAAATATTTATAATGTTACACCATTACTTCCACTACAGATCTTCTTAAAGATTCATTACTGACACATTACAATCATGTTCTTGAACTCTTTTGGATAGGACGCAAATCGCAAGATCAGGTGAACGGATAAGTTGATTCGGAAGTGATCAGGAATGAAAATCAGTGCTTAAAAACTGATACGAATTGACAGTAAGATGATATACCGCAAATAAAAATAAACACTAGTTTCAACAAACAATATGGTGAATCAGTTCTAGTATACACTGCAACCGCGTAAGTTTCAATATATGAATGATAATAAAAGAATACGTGATAACTAAGGCAATACTGTCTGACTATCCAAACCCAACTCGAAGTCTGAATCTGAAACCTACTGTAGAAATTCAAGTTCTTTAACTGATAAGTTGTTTAGTAACTATAATGTCAGTCAAATTTATGAAAAAAAATCAAGAGAACTTTAGACAACCAAAAGAAATTACACATTACAGTAGAAATACGATAAATGAACATAGATTTAATGAATGTTCTGAAAAACAAGATACACAGTCCTTGCACAAGTTGTAAACATTAATACCAAAAAAAGGAAAATTCAGTCTGACTTGACCCCATGCCACTCCTCTCTCTCATTCATTTGTTGTTAACAAGTTACAGTTAAATAATTCAGTCAAGAAGATATATCTAAAATAAAAATGAGCGGATTTCAAGTTTTCATCACACTGAAAAATAGGAAAAACACACAGAACTAGCAAGTACGAAATAAAGTGAAATATAAGTATATATACATATAGATGTTGAGAATAACACCGGCAATTTCTAGTTAAGTGCTTATTAGTTAACTTTATTCCACCATTTTAAAAGCAAAACTATAGCTGCGAAATTGATTAATACACATTAACAAATCTCTCACTGCAAAATACGTCTACTTTCAGTTTCACCACAAACTATAGAGCGTTAACTAGAAAAAACAGTTATTATTGAGTTTTATACATTAAAAAAACGACTCTACAAGCTTTAATTGAAAGATTAAAATTTTTGTTTGTAAATCTGAATAAAATTCAGAGAAATTAAGTTTGAGAAGAGAAAAGTGTGTACATTTTAAAAGTTACTTACAAGAAACAAGAGAGGAAAATTAGAGAGATGAAGAAACACACAAGGTGTGAATAAATTCAATGTATCATCACAACGTTAGACTGAAAACGACAATAATAATAATAGCAACAAGCATAGCTTACCTGATTTATTTGTACAAGGGTCTTGTGTTTTCACACCGGGAAAAGATAAATATTTTGATATTACTGACTAAGAGACAAATATTTTATATGTTTTAAAGAAAAGACTATTGATTACATTAACAATGAATGGATGTCTTCATTTCTACATTTACAAGTTTATATGTACTGGTAATATATATGGTTAGAAAATCAAAACCATATGAAATAAATAAAGAAATTTAGGTACATAGTCACTGTTGATTAAATCAAAGATTATAAACACTATGGGTTGTTTCTTGAAAAAAAAATCATCATAATTTACTCTTACACTGTTCATTAAAATTGGTTGAAAAGTTCAACTTTTTTTATATCGAAATCATTGAGAAAAGATAATTTAAAAAAATCGAAATAAAGAAGTGGCAGGAAGTAAGACAGTTATCGATCGATAGTACTTTCTATTAAATTGAGTTAAAAACAACATCAAGACCCCACTCTACTTAATTCAGTCTTAGTTACCAGATAGAATTATTTTAATCATATTAAATAAGTATTATTAATCAAAACTGAGTGAATACACATAAATATTTGACAAAACCGTGACGATATATAATTTATAATCTTTTTGAAATCACGTAATAATCCATAATTTAATGTAGATAGAAATTTCAATGGTTCTTTAATATTAATTTATTTTCAATATGGGGTTGTGGGGTATGTTTATTTCCATTGAAATCACTAACCCATGTTAGACCACTACTAAAAAACTTAAAACACTGGATGGGCGTCTCGTCCTAGTATGGGACTTCTAAGCAGTATGCATCCACGACCCTGCAAGCATGAGTCGAACCCAGCACCTTTGACCTCGTATACAAACATTTAACCTTTAGATCATTGAGCCGGGATCCAACAGTGTAAATGTCCAACTTCAACCAGTCCACAACATTACGTGATCATCTTTCAATGTCTTCGGTGGGTTTGTTTATTTTATTTTCTTAGTTCAAATTTTTCGATCGTAAATTTTAATACTCGAACATTATGGCATACAGAATACTACAGGAATCTATGTATACTGAACAAAATCAAAGTGAAACTGGTATAAGGAGGAATTATAAATCACTATGAGTTTGTTTTATGAATGAATAAGAAAAAGAACACTCTTTATGGAAGTAAAAATATTTGACTCCATTAAGTTGTTTAATAGAACAAGTAAAAGGATGTATACATATTTCGACCTTATAAGCTGACCAAGTTTATCAAGCATATAATTCTCTGAATGGTATAAATATAACCCGATAAACAAGAGCTTATTTGATCCACCACGCGTCAGAAAAAATAAAATACATTTGGTTTATAATAGTATTTCCAAATGACGTCCCCTCAAAATGAACAACTACGGCTGAAAGTCATTAAACTATGTTGAGTGAATATATTTTTATATTTCACATTTTAAGATGTCCACACTTTATAATGTGATATAAAAGTATTTTTTTATTATTAAGATAATCATCTGTTTATATAATAATCTTATTTACATTAATACATTTAGCTTTCAAGAATAATTTTCAGTGGAAAGAGTTATCAAGTCCTGGACATCTATGAATTCAGCAAAGTAAACATTGAGATGTGATATGATATAGGATGGCGATACAATGCTTTAAAATTAAACAGGCAGAAGACATTTTATATGCGTAACTTCTTCCACATCCTGTTAACGGTTATATATTAGTGCAAGTTATAGTGGACATGTATATAGTTAGACTAACAAAGAAAAAAACTTTTTATCCTGCAAAATAACACACTGATAGTAAATATTTTTAACTATTCAAGTACAATGATCCATTGTCATCTCATACAGTCTATGGTAAATAATACAATTCTTTTAGTTCAAAGAAAACTAAGCTGATCAACCATATAACTCATTATTCACGTGAAGCTTTTATACAGATGACTATCCATATTGAAGTAGATGTAGCGGCGGCCCGTAATTGTGAAAGTTAAATGTTTCAACTATATGTGACTAGGCATCAGTGAGCATCATTGAAATTACAATCACTATAGAGACTTGCCAGATAGTAATCGTGAGACGACAGTTATACATATTTCAGGATATTTGGATTATTAGGAAATTAAATAATAAGTAGTATACACAGTACAGAATAGATGGAATGAGGCCAGCAGTGGAATTCAGGACGCGCATTCGATCTTATTTGGGACTTGTCAGTCGGATGTTTCTGTATCTCAGAGTTGATATTTACTCAGGGATAATCCAAACCATTTCAAATTAAACTGAGTGCATGGTTATATTTTCTCTACAACTAATCTCTTGATAAGAAATACGGATGGAAGAAGACAGGAATATCTTTCCATCAGTGTAATGCATACATATACGGTAAATTACCATATTCTTTATCATATGAATATAAAAATGATCTGAAAATTAAAACTGGATAAAATCTACATGACAAGTGGATTCCTATCAGTAAAAAAGTGTTAAAGAATCCAATAAATTCTAGTACGGGAATTCAGCCAATTTACTGATACAATAATAAATATGAGGAATATTAAGAGTTTTACCACATAAATACATTCAGAATGGGGTAATGCTTGAAAGGTATTGTGTAGTATAACAAGTAAATATATGAATGCATACTAGGAGTAAATAATAGTAGATATTATCACTCACTGTGTAAGCCCATATTGTCAATTTTCAGTTTGAAATTTGTATTGATGTCATTTCACAATAATAATTCGTTTACAATGGACTTATTTGTTAAGTGAATAACAAGCTTACCTAATAAAGCAAACATAAAGCTGTGGCAGAAAGAAAGAACGAAAATAGGCCGAAGACTAACAGTTACTAATCAAAACATATATCCCTTAGTCTATCACACACTTTACCTGATGGTTACGACAATTTTCCCAAACTTTGCGTAATATTGCATAAGATCGTTCTCTGGAAGCGAATGATGTGAAGAAAAATCGTTCATGATTTTTAGAATATAAAATTTGGATTGCATTTGGTATAACACGAGCAGTTTTCTCTTTGGTAATTGCAACAATCTCATTGACTGCCAAAAATATCTAAAGTTATGATAAGCAATAAATATAAATGTGAAAGCAAGAGAAATTTACTTCTTCAGGAAGCATGATCCAAAAAGCACAATAGTATGTTTAAATATGAGTAACAGATTAACTGTTTGTAAGATTCATGACGCAAACCACAGTACAAAGTATATACTACGCTACACAGAAATTCAAAAGTCAATTTTATGAGGACATTTTATTCACGTGACAGATATGTCTTTCACTTTTTAAGATTATTTATTAGGCCAGAGCTTGTACAAAATGAAATGAATCGGATAAACGAGTCAGTTGTATGATGTAAAATTGTAATATCTAATAACCAAGAAATTTGATTACATACAGATGATAAATTAATCAGTCTATATGTCACAATCTGATTAACAATGTAGCATTACTAATATATAACACTTAGATACAGAAACAAATTAATTTACACTTATACATAATCACTACTCAGCATGTTACATTATAGACTAGTCATTAAATATGCATAAATCAACATAACGTCCAAACATCGACAATAACGTTTATTAAACTTCTACTTTGCATATATATTAAATATTTATTACTGTTCACACTCAATCCCATTACTTTTTCTCTATGAAAAACATCATTCCGAAGACAGGTAATATTGATTGCTTTCGAATAAATCAATATTGATTTGATAAGCCATTTAACTGGCAAGAATCAATATCGTATAAAAAATGATCATACTATTACTAATAGTAATCATAACAAATCATAGAAGACCTCAACAAACTAGTAGAAAATATCAAGCATATAAACATTGAACTGTCAAAATAGCCCAGTAGATTTCAGATGACCAGAAATCAATGTTTATAATCGACCTCAATCAATAAATGCAGTGCATTTAGAATAATATTTCTTGTCAAAAAAACAGTAAATAATATATCAACCTAAACAGTTCACAATTAACACAAGTACAAAGATTGTTCTCAAGATGGTGTTTTTCCGCAAAAAAGGAGAATAGATAATTGTTTTGCATGGATAAAATGTGAACCACCAGTGGTCCAATGAAGTAAACAGCAACTATTAACTCAAATAACTCTGTCTGTAGCTCCTCTATGGTTACTGCCGATACAAAGACCGGGTAAAAGTGGATGGTTTGGAGTGAGATCAGGGACCCCTTCCCGTAGGAAAAAATCTTGCTTAAAACGCTAATCAGAACAAACAAATTAAACTAATTAAACCCTGTCCTCCGACTTGAACTGTCATCATTTAGAAAAGTTATGACGCCTTATGGTGAAAGCCGAGAATCGTCGGAAGCAACGAGGCTGATGCTCCTATCTAAAAGATAGAGCAATAATTAATATATGTACACGGAATGTCCGGACAATGTGAGAGACGAGGAGAAGTAATCAAAAAGCTACGGAAATGAGTAGATACAAGTTGACGGTACTTGGGATAAGTGAAACACATTGGGCCCAAGCTGGACAGCAAAAGTCAGATTCGATTAAAGTGCCGTTGTACTTTGGTAATGAAGAAGAAAATGTTTCACTCAACCACGTGGTGGTTGCCAAGATGAGACTGAAGAACTGGAGAAAAAGCACAACAAAGGTTCAATACAGTCTTCGTTCGACATACTAACAAACTCAACGTATTGAAGACAGCGCCCCCAAATGCCCTGGTACGGCCGAGAGTGGGGAGAGTCCGCTCTCCCTCTCGAAATGCTCTCTCATGACCACGCGAATGTATAGCCTCAGACAGGGAAGTCCTATTCACTGCCTTCTCGTGGCGGGGGTATTGTTTGCGAAAGTGAGAGGACGAAAAGCGAATGTCCGGCGCTTTAACCGGGTTGGTGGACATGGAGGGTCCACCTAAGGGAGTTGGGAAACCCTGATTCCAAACCAATGGTGCACATGGGCTTCAGGATCCTGAAAAAACGAATGGCGTATGAACCTATTGCTGATCACCGGCTACCATGGGACTGCATCTCATGACGTTGCTCCACTGACTTGTGGATCAGACCTTTAGGTCAAAGGTTCCGGGTGTGGTCCCCTAAGAAAATCACCTGCTTCAGTCTGGGCACCTGGACAGTATCACAGCCGTCACACAAATCAAATGAGATTTGTGAGGCGCATATTTATCGGGTGCTTCCTTGTACCAATATTTATGTGTTTAAATAAATAAATAAATAAATTGAAGACAGCTCTCGACAACAGGTTCCGAACCTTACAAGATCTACTCAAAGAAGAAGAAACTACTATGGAGGACAAATGGAAAAGAATTAAAGACCCATTAACTTCAACGTACCAGGAGGTTCTGGACTGCAGCAATTATCAACAGCCGAACAACAACAGAGGAAGTCCAGATACAAATCTGAATACACAGAAGCAAATAAGCGCGTGAAATAATGCACTTGAACTGGCATGCAGAAATACGTGAAAGACCTGGCAAGGAAAGCGGAAAAAGCTGCAAGAGAAGGAAATAATAAATAGCTGTATGACAACGAAGAAACTCGCAGGGAAATATAATAAGCCAGAGAGACCAGTGAAGGATAATGAAGGCAGGACAATCACTGAGACTCAAGAACAGAGGAACAAAGCGGTGGAACACTTAGAGGAACATTTGAATAGACCAGCTCCGTTAAATCCACCGGATATCGAAGTAGTACTTCCTTGACTACGAAAAAGCACTTGAAAATGCGGATAGGAGAACACCTTCCTCGACAATATGGTGTGCCTGAGAAGGTCGTCAACATTACAAGGAACCCATACGACGGACTACACTGCATAGTCGTGCATGGAGGACAGCTAACATATAACTCCATTCCAACTAACGACCAAAGTCAAACAAGGCTTCTTACTCTACCTCATCTCTTTCTTTTAGTGGTTGACTGGATTATGAAGACCTCCATATCTCAGAGGGAGTATGGGATACAATGAATATATTGGACACAATCAGATTATTTGAACTTCACAGACGACCTAGCTCTTATAACCCAAACACACCATCAAATGTAAGTGAAGACAGCCAGTGTAGCAGCAGTAGCCCTCAACAAACACAATGGAAAAACAAACATCCTGAAATACAACTTGGAGAACATCAACCCAATCACATTTCATGGAGGAACTCTGAGAGATGTGAAAACTCACGTAACTGGACAGCATCATCGATGAACAAGCAGGATCTGATACAGATATAAAAGCAAACAGTAGCAAAGTAAGGACCACACTCCTACAGTTGAACAACATATGCAATTCACAACAACTGTCTGCAAGCCAACATCAAAGTCACAATCTTCAATACGAAAATCAAAACAGTTAGCTCTACTGTAACGGAGCTGAAACTTGCAGAACTACCTCAACCATCATCAAAAAGGTACAGGTATTTATCAACAATTGTCTACGCAACATACTCAATGTCCGTTCGCCAGATACCATCCGCAACAGCCTACCCAGGGAGAGAACAAACCAGGTCCCAGCTGAGGAGGAAATTAGGAAAAGATGTCGGAAGTGGATAGGACACACATTGAGGAAATCATCAAACTGCATCACGAAGCAAGAGCTAACTTACAATCTTGAAGGGAAACTGAAAAGAGGAAGGACAAAGAACACACTGCGTCGAGAATCGCGAGCACACTTAAATAGGATAAATAGCAACTAGAAACAACTGGTAAGGATTGTCCAGAACAGAGTTGGATGGAGAGTGCTAGTGGGCGGCCTATGCTTCCCCACGAAAGGTAACAGGCGCAAGTAAGTAAGTAATTAGCTCAAATGGATTTCACTCACTTACACCTAATTAGGTCAATGTGACGAGGTAGTATCATTAACCTTGAAACAATAAATATAGCTCAAATCAAATTCAACAGCTTTATATCTCGGTCAGTGTAATGCGTTAAAGACGATAAGTGAACATATGCAGTTAGCAAATATGCCATTCACCTCATTAGATCACAGTTGATAGCCTCATCAATAGACGTATCCTTTCCATCTAGTGGCCTACAACTGGTCACAATATTGCCAACTCAATAGTCTCATCAAATTTGTAAGACACATTTGATCAACTACTTTGCAGAAAATTCCGTTATTCTTTCTTATGATGGGCTATATGTTGACAAGAAAAAAACTATGCACTCTTTGATACATTAAACGGAGTTGTTGAACATCGAATTAATTCCAAGCAAATTATCAAGACTTCTATCCAGTATGAGTAGTTCGTTTAATAAATAACACTAACGGTATACATCCCTTACAAAATTTATGGCAGACATAACTCTAATGAAACATTTTCTCCACTTGTGACAATACACCTATACCAATTCAATTTTCTAAGACATCACTGTATATCCTCCGAAGGTAGGCTCTTAAGAAGCTCCGTTGGTTCATACTTTTTCGGAACACCAAATATTTTGCAGCTACGATTTATCCAAATTTCAGTTCATTAGTAATCATACAGACACTGTAAAAGCGGTAGAAACTGCAAATATTTGTTGGTTTTTTAAATATAAAAAAACGGTTCGAAGTTATTATAATCTTGGATCATTCTATCAATCTCCACAATTATTGACAAAAAAAATTCAATCCAACTCAAGAGAGTTTTCCTCTTTATAAAATCTTTATTACTTCATGGGTTTTTCACATGTTTCAATGAAAATAGAAGCAGTTCAGTTCGTGTATTCATTCAACAGAGAACATATATGAATTTTCTTTATAAATATTCTATTCAATTCACTCAACCAAAGCTATATTATACTTCAAATGATACAATAAATTTTCACTGCCTTAAACGTTTTTTTTTCTATTTTAATAACATCAGTTTTGTTTTAAAACTTTAATTGAAAGAAATAAAAACTTATGGATTATTAGTAGTATATAAATGAAAAAATAAAAATTACTTTTTGTTCGTATAGAATTTTTGAATAAAAGCAAACCCATGTTTCAGTAATATACATTCGACCTTGAAGTAATAGACCATTATTATTCTTAGATAAAGCACATGAATAATCTATCGAAACAATTTTGAAGAAAAAAACAATGAAGAAGAAACAATAAGATGAACTATGTTATACCGTAATAAATTAAAATTACAATAGTATGCTTTGAATAAAAAGATTCAAAGAAAATAAATGTATATTAATATGTTAAAATTATGTACACACATATAAATATATGCGATCATACCACTTTTAACAATTTTATCTATGAATAGATGTATGTTTGTAAATTTTTGTGAATAACCACTGAATATGTAGTTTGATACAATTTAGGAAGAAAAAGATAATTATGGATAAGTAATTTATTTGGTTGATCTCGTAACTGAATAGAACACTGTAGTGATTATTTATTATAACTGGGGTCGAAATTGCTACTGACATAGTTAGGTGGAAAGAAGAAGGCAAGACTGAAGACGAAAATTTGACTATGTACTAATGGTAAATCCACAAATGATCAACGACTATATCGATATGAGATTTAGTTGCATATAACTCAATTACCTGATCAAAGCCGATTACGTAGAACTGAGTAGCAATTGGCACAAATCAATCTATAGCCTAATGGATAAATGCCCTGGTGGGGGGAAAGTACGCTCTCCCTCTCGAAATGCTCTCACATGGACACGCGTATATAGCCTCTACCAGGGAAACCCTACTCACTGCCTTCTCGTGGCATTACTTCTGTTTACGAAATTGACAGGACGAAAAGCGAATGTCCGGCGCTTTAGCCTGGTTGGTGGGTACGGATAGTTCATCTAGGAGAGTTGGAAAACCCTGATCCCAAACCAATGGTGCACATGGGCTTCAGGATCCTGAAAAAACGAATGGCGTATGAATCAATCGTTGGTCACCGACTACTATGAGACTGCATCTCCTCACGATGCTCCACTGCCTTGTGGATCAGACCTTTAGGTCAAAGGCTCCGGGTGTGGTCCCCTAAGAAAACCACCTGCTTCAGTTTGGGCACCTGGGCAGTATCACAGCCCTTACACAAATCGAATAAGATTTGTGCGGCGCATAAGTATCTGGTGCTTCCTAGTACCAATATTTGTGTTTAATTAAATAAATAAATAAATTATGACGTAACATTGCAGTATCTTAAAATATGATCATAGAAGCATTTTATAACTATTTGTAAAATGTCATTCGAAATAGATGAAAAACGGTACAAATGTTTACAAATTGAGGAATCTAATATTTGGATAAAATGATGACTTAAATTATCTGGTAATAAACATTGACACAGTTAAATGAAAGATTCATCATAAGACTCCCAATAGTATTTACAATAAATGAAACTAACGTGACGAAAATAAAAATGAATCCTATTTGACATAAAAAAGAATTATTGATCCTTTTCTTAGAAACCTTTGAATTTTAACCGGTTTATATTAATAATATAAATAACAGTGAATATAACCGATATCATTATTTTCATTACAATAATAATCATAATAATGAGTTACATTAACTTACCTACAAGTAGTCGTTCAGTGTCAACAGGAGTATCACGAAAAATACGTCGAAATTGTTCCAACTTCGTTCGATAGGATGGAGTTAATGACTAATTTGTATAAATATTTATCATAAGGATTAAAAAAAGGAAGTTGGGGTTAGGAACACTTGTTTCATTAAATGAAAAATAATTTGTAAAAAGGAATTATTACTTTACTGCATTCTATTATACTATATAGTAAAGCTTGGATAAACAATTTCTATATGCTTCAGATAATTACTACATACTAATAAAATAACTTTTGGGTGGATGAGATCACGAAAAAAAGATATTTGAAATAGAAGCGATGGTCAGTAAATAAGTGTGAAAATTAAAGTTATTACTGCGAAACACTAGCGACAATAAAGCTTGCATCAAATACAGTTAATTAACTACACTTGAAGTTATATTGAAGAAAATAGATACGTTAATTATTGTTAACCACTCAAAGAATGCCACCCATTTTGAATATGATAGCCTTCATAGTTTGCTATCAGTTGAAAAATAACATATGAAACTCACTAAATAAACATTATATAGAATTACTTTATGATGTAGATAATAATTAAGTGGAAAAGCTAGTTGACTATATATACATTATATCAGTGAAACAGAATAGTTTCATATTGGGTAAAAACTAAAAGGGTTGTTGTTGTTGTACAGACTAAATAATAAAAGACAAATGAAAAATATCTCAGAAGAAAGTGATTATTACTGTACTGTAAAACAGCCACTATACTGACAATCAAATTAATCAATGCAGATAGTGAGTCAACTTCATTTTATGAATTATAGCGACTACAGGTAATATAGACCTGAAATTTTGAACAGATAAAAAAAGCTAATTTGAAAATATTAATTAAATTTGTAAGATAGATGTAAAGTAATGATAGAAATATTTCACACAAGTACTTTAGCATGTAACATTTTCCGTCAAAGTATATTTAGTGTAAGAGCGAATTTAAAATAATCGTGGCCCTAAATGCCCTGGTACGGCTGAGGATAGGAGAGTCAGTTCTCCCTCTCTAAATGCTCTCACATGGCCACGTGTATACAGCCCCTGACAGGGAAGTTCTACTCACTGCCTTTTCGCGGCAGGGGTATTGTTTATCAAATTGAGAGGACGAGTAGCGGTTGTCCGACGATTTAACAGGGTTGGTGGATATGGAGGATCCACCTAGAGGAGTTGGAAAACCCTGATTCAAAACCAATGGTGTACATGAACTCCAGGATCCTGAGGGAACAAATGGCGTATGAATCTATTGTTAGTCATAGGTTATCATCGCTTTGCATCTCCTTACGTTACTCCACTGACTTGTGCATCAGATCTTTATGTCGAAGGCTCCGAGTGTGGCCCTCTAAAAAAGCCACCCGCTTCAGTCTGGGTACCCAGGCAGTATCATAGCCCATACACAAACAAAGTGACTTGGGTGGCGCATAGGTATTCGGTGCCACCTTGTACCAATATTTATGTGTTTAAATAAGTAAATAGATAAAATAAAATAATCGAGGTGGCATTTTAGCTAGCTTTTAGTCAATTAGAAGACAGCCTTTGTAAATGAATATTTTATGAGAAAGAAAACAATAATACCACAAAGTATGAACAGCTTTTACATAATTATTGAGTCTATTAAAGTCTCCGACAGGTCGCTCTGCCTGTAAGTCGAAAACTAAACTCTTTCTTACGGATTACAGATAATTAACTACACTAAGTATATGAAATATGCACATTTACCTTAACAATTACAAAAAATACTCCTATTAAAATGGTAAAAACAGAGTAAAATATAAATGAAATTATTAGACGAATCTTGGTCTCTGTAAGATAAATAGTTGATTTTTGTCAAATTAACTATTGTCGGAATAAAATGTCAGCAAGTTAAGTTGCAGCTGCGGACAACAATCTACATCACGTGTGAAGATGTCTTTATTTCATTATAACCGACTATTTAGTGTCGATTAATACACTTACTTTCGGTCCCACTTGAGATGCTAGGGTTAATGATATTACCTATACTAAAAATGGGTTGAGTGGGGTTCTAACCCAGCTGTTCAGTAATTAAAAGCCGAATTTTTTACCCACTAAACTCCTACTGTATGTTGCAGATTAAACCGATCAATGATTCTCTAAAATTGTATAGCATTCCGTATATTTCATTTATTACAAAGATATCTATCCATATATGATACCAGACGAGCACACACACACACACACAAACAAGTGGATCAAGAAAACATCAGAGAAGTACCAGTGAGTGTAATACATACACAATAATAGACATGTGAACATATGTTACATAAATAGACAAAACTAGACATAAAATAAAACAAAACATTACAAAGACGTTAACTGTCATCACTTTTCATACTGATTCAACATATCCGACTTACACACAAATAGTCAGTAAAATATACTAAAGCATATGAGAAAAAAGTAAACGATTTTTTTACTTGATCTTTTTGTGTTTAAGCAAATTACTACGCATGGATTATCAGGTCGAATTCTCATTTAGTTGTCATATTGTAATCTATGGTGAAATAACTATACATGATAAGCATAATGATAATGGCAAATAATAATAGTCTCTATTGGAATTTGGAACGAATAGAATGATACTGAAAAGATTTTGTTGAAAATATTATGAAACTAAACAAGACATAATACGTTTGTTATAAATTGAAATAGAAAGCTTTATTTTATTTGTCTATGCGCGCACATACTTGAGATAATATTCAAGTTCTTTCTAAAGTCTAATTAAAATGTTTTTTTTTTAAAAATATAGAGAACTTTATACTTGGAATGTTGAATTATAATATCCTAGTGTTTCTTATATTTTAATATTTATGATAAATAAACCAGAGTTTATTACGCTGAATAGATGAATATAACTGAGACAACTAATAAAAAGCAATAATAAAAGTATTGTGATGGTCACTTTTTAGTGTAAGATGCAAACATGAAAACCATGACCGTGATTTTAGTAGTGACTTACTTTGCATTGAGTTCCGTTGAATGGTTATGACGACAAAGAAACAGTCGAAGCTAATGACATTTGAAAACCGTCGTATCATATCGCGAATCAATTAAAACTGCTATAAATATTATTGGATCTAAAATCCACTAGGCAAGTCGTTAAACACTCACTCTCTAGACCTGAGGACTTTTAGTGGTGAGTGTGCAACTCTGACGGGTCCCGTACCAGGACGGAACCGCTCTCGAAAATAAGAATCACAAAACGTGATGTGTAAGGTGAGTAACAATAAAAATATAATACTTCTTTTATACAACAGAAAGGAAAATGCAGTTAGGCAGATGAAAGCAAAAATTTTATACTTTGGTACGACCCTCTAAGACAATTTTATTTAACATAAATGACAGATCTAATAAGTGGATTACTACCCAAACGATCATCATGACAACATAGGGATTAAATATTCAATATATACACGTACATAAAAACAGAAAGCAGGATTAGATAACGACAAACAAAAAGAATCACTATGAAAAGAAGAAACATAGGACTAGAATCGAGAAACTATTAAATTTAAAGGGCAAAAGCTAAGCCATGAATGAAACTATGCTACTGAAATCAATATATTTATATAAACGAATAAAAACTACGGTTTTGTACAGATGAATAATGCAGGATGTCTAAATAACTTTACAATAATTATGGTGTCGAAATGCAGAAAAAAACTAGGTTTACTTATTATTTTAAACAAGTAGACTATCGATTTTTAAAAAAATACACATACACACAAATTGTACACTTCCATGTATGTTGAAACAAATCTTGATTGCATTATATATATATATATATATATATATATATATAATGCTTATTTCTAGGAATCGCTGTTTAGTAAACGAATAAACGTTTACTGAGTATTGAGATATATTTTTTGGTTTGAGGGATATAAAATTGTAAACTATTTAGCATTTCAGAAAGAAACAGGTACCTGGAGTGGAGCTAGAATGAACAAATTGACATTTGAGAATTATTTAAGGAGCTTTAGTTATTACCTCAGCAAAAATGTAATGTAAATGTAACAAAAAAAAGATAAAAAGATGCAAACAAAACAGGAAATTCGCCTGTTGATTTTACGGAAATGATTCTGACACAAAGGTTCCAGCAGTCGCTCCAAACACTGAAAATCCTCAGTTCATCTGTAGATGTGCATTGTAAAGGAATCCCGTATTAATATGAAACAACTGTACAGTACTTTCTGATTTTCAAAATTTCAATTTTCGTACAGCAACTGAAACTTCAATATGTGAGTCAATAGGATACTGATCAATACGAAATGAACCGTCGATGGCAGTTAAGTTTATGTTGTGAAGACAAGCTGTACTTAGTTCAAGAATGAAGTAATAGGAACGAGTAGAAGAGCTACCAGGAGGAATTAAGTTTGAGCGTAGATGAAGTTACCACAAGTGCAGATCCCAGTGGTAGTAGCAAATATTGACGGCTGAGGTAGAGAAAGGTTCTATGCAAACAGTAATTAATCACAGATCAGACGATTAGTTTTAAGCGATCCGAAAAATTGGAACACAGACAGAGTGTTTATTATTGTCTGTTTCCAGACTTTATTCAGTATTGCACAATAATAACAAAACAAAATAGATATCCTGAATTCAGTCATGAATATACAAATTGAATAATTTTAGCCACCAACTATACAATTCAACTCAACACTTTTTAATACTATTTCATTCAATTAATTTAATAATTGAATTTGAAATCTATGTTCATTTTTATTAAAATACTATTTATTAAAAATAATATTATGTAGACGTGTCATTATTATTAGAGTTTACTAGACAATAATTTATTACATCATACTCATATGAACAACACTGTGTTTCATTCTTAATAATAAGAAATCATATAATAAAGATCCCGACGAAGCACATGAATTTTGATTAATTTACCAATGGTTAAATTATTTTTAAAAAAATGTATATTTACAAAAGAAGGAAGAATAATCGTCAATATTTTTTTAGTTTTATAGTGTTAATGAATTAATTATAAGTGTTATTTATTGTTCATAAGGATTGATTGGTAAAT